CAAAAACAAAGTTTCTGGAGTATAACAATTTCAAAGTAAGTATTGCACAAACAGAAATAACATTTTAAAACCAGAAACAGATTTTTTTTCAGATTTTGTTACATAGAGTGATGCAAACAGTCCTCAAGACACATGTTGTTCTTCCTTCCTCTTACATACTAGTAACTATGGGTGCATCTGCACTGTAGAATTAATGCAATTTGACACCACTTTAGTGGCCATGGATCAGTGTTTTGGAATCCTGGAAGTTATAGTTTTACAGGGCCTTTTACTCTTTTCTGGGGCCATGGTGGCACAGCGGGTTAAACCGCTAAGCTGCAGAACTTGCTGATTGGAAGTTTGCCAGTTTGAATGCACGCATAGGATGAGCTCCCATTGTTAGCCCCAGCTTAGGAGTGTGAAAACCTAGGAGTTTGAAAACATGCAAATGTGAGTAGATCAATAGGTACCTCTTTGGTGGGAAGGTAATGGTTCTCCATGCTGGCCACATGACCTTGAAGGTGTCTACGGAAAATGCCAGCTTTTCGGCTTAGAAATGGAGATATGCATCACCCCCGAGTTGAACACAACAAGACTTAATGTCAAGGGGAATCCTTTACCTTTTTCTTTTCTGTCAAAGATTGCTGCTGGCTCACCACACTCCAAAACACCCTATGGCAGTGAAAGTGATGTCAAAAGACATTAATTCTACAATTGCAGCTGCACCCTATGGCCCCACCAACACTGCCATATCTGAATACTGATTACCTGCATTGAACTGGATTATATGGTAGTACACACTCACATAATCCTGTTCAAAGCAGTTAATCTACACTCTGAAATGGGATTATACAGCAGTGTAGCTCAAGCCTGTATTGCCAAAAGCATCACGGCACTGTGATTGCACCAGAGCTTGGAAGTTAACACATAAAAAAATATTGCTCCCTAAAGCACCATTTTATGGCTAGCTGCTCCTTTGCTATTTCTTTAACACAAACCATGCTCCATTGTTTTTGAAGCAATGTGAGCAGCGTTTATTAAGTATTTTAAAAATATTATTTTGGTATCTCTGTGGAACACATTTTTCCAATTTTTGTAAGCCAGGAATGCAATATTAGTGCACTGCTCAGAGAGTAATGGGAAACATCCACATCATACATGTTGTTCTAGGTATTTATGCTGCTTTGAATTTCAGAGTGCCATTTTCATGAGCTCATTATGGCTACAAATCAGAGATAACACTTTATGACATTGAGCAAAAAGCTCATGATGAAATAGGTGTTCCTACTGATAAACTGGAAATTGTTCCCATGAAATATTACACAAAAGACGTAGCGAAGAGTAGTTGTCACCATCTCATATAAAATGCAAAACAAGGGAACCAGAAATATCCAGTTCCAATCCATAATTAGTTTAAGATCTTGATGAGCTAATGTGGTGTTCCCGAGGTCCCATCTACACTGTATTACAATCCAAATTATCAGACCAAATAATCCAGATTACGTGCTTTGAATTGGATTATATGACTCTACGCTGCCATATAATCCAGTTCAAAACAGATAAACTTGATTTTATATGGCAGTGTAGATGGGGCCTGAGTCGATCTGTAACTTCCATCACCAGATCACCACTGGCCAAAATGATATTTTGACCACTGATGGAAATGCACGTTACAAAACAATGTGGATACAGAGGATCCTTTGTGACTATAGATAAGAATCCAATAGCCAAATTAGTAACTGCAGGCTCCCTTACCTCACTCCCTTTATTACCATTAGCCATAGTTTAGCTGATTTTTTTTTTTTACATAAGATAGCCCTCTGAGAAACAACAATTTGGAAACATATCATGGAGTGTGGATATAGTGCCTGATCCATGTTTGAACCATGGATGCTGCCAGAGCTTGGGAAATACACTTTTTTGCATTGCAATTCCAGAAATTCCCAACTAACATGGATGGGACTTTTTCTAAGTTTCCAAAACTGTAATTTTTCCGAGCCCACGCTGAACTTGGGAAGAATTGCTGTGTATGCAACTTTTGACAATAATCAATACAATAAAAGGGCATTATCTCTGGATTGTGCAGACATTCCTGAGGCTGGATTTAGATTCAAGCAAACCATGGATCTACTGTGTATACTTGTATATAAGTTGACCTCATGTATAAGTCGAGGGCAAGTTTTGGGGCCAAAATTATGGAGTTTTTTATCACCCATGGATAAGTTATGGGTCATTCCTCAAAGAGAGGGAAATACTAGTGCCATTTCCCTATCCAGACCTTCAAAAAGTTGAGTTTCTTTTAGATTCTCCCAGGTTGGAATAAATTCTCACCTTTTGTCATCCTTCTCAGGGGATGGTTCCTCTTTTTTTCGGATAAGAGCTAAAGTACAGGAATTGTATTGACATGTGGATAAGTCAACTCAGTTTTTGGAAGGTGATTCTTTTGACCAAAAAAAAATTCTAGATGTACACATGAGTATATACAGTAAATCCAGTTGTGAGTCTCACCCACCAGATCAGTTGCCACATGGTAAAGTTTACATATATTCCCCTTGATTCAATCCATAATTTCTCCAGATAGGGCAGGTGTGTTGATAAGGTTCCAGTATTTGTTTCTGTAGTATATGCTGTGTTTCTGTTGTCCCAGAATATTTTCTGGCAAATTCCAGCACCAGCTGCAACATTTTATTCCCACTCTCAACTTTTTTAAAAGACACATTGGAACAAAAAAAGTTTTCATTTCTTTTATCTATTTATGGAATAGATCAGGATTTTTTTTATGCTCTAAAGCATTGTAACTATTTCTTATAAAGGAACAAAAAATATCCTTCAAACCAAGGATCATCTCAGAAAATCTTGTTCCCATTTTGAAGTATACTTCTGGAAGAGCCTTACTGCAAAGCCAAGACTTCACTACAAACATTTCTCCATAATAAATGGAAGGAATGGGACTAAAGGCAAACAAAACAAGCAAAACCCAAGGAAGTATATTGTGAGAACGCATGCTTCTTTTGACCAGTTTGGAAGACCGTCGGTCTAGCTCAGTGGTTCTCAACTTGTGAGTCCCCAGATGTTTTGGCCTTCAACTCCCAGAAAGCCTAACAGCTGGTAAACTGGCTGGGATTTCTGGGAGTTGTAGGCCAAAACACCTGGGGACGCACAGGTGGAGAACCATTGGCCTTGTTGTGATTAGCAAACAGGGCTGCCAGATTGAAAACTGGAGGGTTCTTGTGCCTTTAATGGTTGTGTAGAAGAGAGAATTACAGCAGAAACAACCAGGAAACAAGCAACGCCTTTTGAAATCCCCTCTTCTGCCCAATGAACAGGAACTCTCTCCAGTTTTCATTCTGCCAAATGGTTTTAGGCCATGGTTTTTAGGGAACCAATACTGCATTAGTAACAGACCAAGGAGCAGAGCATACAATCACCCATCTGGCTATTTTGACTTTTAATGAATTAAAGAGTGTCTTTCTGCGCATGCATATGGAATTAAAGATAAGTAAGGTCCAAGAGTTGAATGGAAGAGAAAAACACTTGAACTACGCTGCAGATTGTCTTAACCCATTACCATGAAGAACAGTTGCTACTACTGCAAAAGGCAGCAATGAGGCAACTCTGAATGGCACAAAATGATTTTGCAACACCCAAGGCTGGAAAAGCAGGAAAGGCAACCTTTTCAGATTTTTTATTAACTCAAGCACTGGTTCATTGGCAAAAATGCCTCCCCTCCCCATCCCAAAAGGGAAATGTACTTTTATGAATGTGTAGCTGCGCTTCCTTCTTCGGTTCATAAATCGAATCCAAAATTCCTATGCTGCGAGATCAGCATTTGTGACCTCCTTGCTAACTCTTCCACGTTTCAGCCACAAAGGCTGAAATTCAGATTGGTTTGCATATTATTGTTTTCTGCTTATAGACTTTTCTGGTGGCCAGAAAAGGAAGGGAGCGGAAAGAAACCTCCAATGCGCCACCGCACAGTCACAAGTCTGGCCAATGAGATAGATCATTGCTTTCCCTACTGTGGTGATTTGTGCCTTACACTACTTAATGCCTGAGGGTCTCTTGTGCCCATTCACCCTCACGTGATGCCCTTTCGTACAATACAATTGTAGCACTAGGATTCCACTTTAATTCAATTGTTCAGGGAGGAGGATATAGACTTCTCCACCAGATAGTTCTAGTGCTCCACCAGATTGCAAACACCAAACTCTCACAGAATGGAACCCTAGCAGTCAACGCAGAATCATAGTGTTGCAACTGTGTTGTGCAAAAGGGCCCCTACTCTCTTTCACTGTTTCTAGAGTTACATAGCCTTGTTCAGCAGATGTGCATGCCTGGACTTAAACCAAGGTGGGAGAAGTGTGGCAGATATTGCTGGACTGCAACTCCCATCAACCCTAGCCCATAGGGAAGGTTGGGGAGAGCTGCAATCGATAACATCTGGAGCGTTGTCCTATCAGAAAACAGGGCAAGTTTGGGTTCCTTGGCACATATTCTGAAGACATTTGTGAATCCCAATTCTTTTCCACAAGGGATGTCAGCCCCAGCCAGCTCTTGCCTTGATCCTGCTTTATGGTTGCCTCCATTCTTGCTTTTGCAAGGTAGAAAGCAAAAGGCATCATCTCCTAACACCCAGGCACTTCTCCATTAGGAAATGTAAAATCCCCCTGGGATATGATCAAGTAAGAAACTGTTATTAACAGCCTGTACTTGGCTTGGGACAGCACTGCTGCTTTCAGTGAGCCATCAAGACCAACTCTGCTCCTGTCAGTTTCATTGCCCTGCAATCCCAGAACAAGAGAGACACCAGTCTGGTCCTATATCCTATGAGTTTGGACTCTAGCCAGAAAGGGCACTGAACAGATCGGACCATTATTGTTTCAAAACAGTGTGTGTGTGTTTTCCAGCTCTTCTGCTTCAATGAAGGAACCAGGCAATATGGAATATTGGGAGGCCTCCTTGTATGGAAACAACCCTTTTTGCCATAACCATTTCAAGAAAACTGCGCAATCAAAGACAAGTTTTGGTATTGGCTGCATTAATGGTGTCTAGTGTTCACATCTGATACACACTCATTAAGTTTAATATAAAAACATACTTTAGACCCAAGCCCCCTGGACACAGCTAGAGAGACACATTCAATAGGACTTCTGTAAACCTAGCACAAAGGCTCCATACGTAACAGAGATATTCCTTACCTCTATTGCCCTAAACATGCACACTCTCGTACACACACACAGACCTCAAGCAATTGTCACCCCTCTACGGATTCTGTCCTTTGGTATCCTTTATCCCAACCCATCGTGCTTTCTTCTGAAACTTTTCTTAAATGCTTGGAGGGAGGAAAACCAACACACAGTTTTACAACAGTCAGTGCTTTTTTCATTTTGCAGTTATTTTCCTTCTGCATTTGGAAGAAAACAAAATAATTTCCAGGGAAAAAAAACCCTCCATGCTTCTCCATCCTTAAAAGAGATTTTTGGAATCAAAACGTAAGGCAATAAAACACAGCATCTCTTACACAATGCATCCCTATCAGCAGAGATGCGGAGGAGAGCCGAATCGATGGAGACGTTTGTAATTCCAAATCCTGACCTTGCTTTTTCCATCCCTGCTCACCGAGGAACATAAGTGTGCATTTGCCGCACAAGCAAGCAATCCGTTTCCTCCTTCTGGGTGAAGTGAATTCTAAAGTGGCCGCTAGAACTGGAGAGTCAGCACCAGTCATTTGGCACCACACAGCGACATGACATTCCCACAACCTATGAAAACTTACATGTCAGTCTGATTTTGAGAGCTTACGCCTAACGTGCCGAGGGGGTTCCCAATTGTCACTGTCATCTGTGTCTTCGTCATCCTCGTCCTCGTCTTCTTCTTCCTGCTCATCCAGAACCTCCTCCTCCTCTTCGTCCTCCTTTTCCTCAAACAGCTCCAGACCTAGTTCAGCTCTTCTCTGCCTATCCGCAAACCATTCCCTGACCTGCTCATATCCCATGTGCGATTTGGCAACCAGCTCGTCAAGGTCCTGTTCATTAAGAAACTTGTGTTTCAGATAATAATCCTTAAGGATTGCTTTTCCAGTTTTAAACTTAATGACGGGCGTCCTGTCCCAGTGTTTGATCCGCTTGTTAGGCCTCTGTCGCCCCCGGGGCCTTCCCCGCCCTCTTCCTCTTGGTCTTCCCCTCCCTCTCCTCCTGGAATAGCCTTGGCCATTCATACCACTCGCCTTGGCCCCTTGGTAGTAGTAGTACCATTTCAAGCCGCCGTTTTTCCAGGCATAACGGGTATCTCCAAACCAACTAACAATCTCTGACCGAGGAAGCCCTGTTTCTTCTGCCAGCTTGTCATAGTCTTCCGCAGATGGCCACTGAGTCCTGATAAAGGACATTTTGAGCATATGTAACTGTTCCGGTGACTTCTTCACCCCCTTCCCAGCCCTTTGTGACCCAACTCCTTCCCCTCCAGATGACTCTGCAAGCGATGCTTCCTTCATGCTCCCCATGTTGCTTTCATTCAGTTCCTCACTTTCATCCCCTAAGGCGCTGGATTTCTTCTGTTCGGCAAACCAAGCATCGATCTCCCTCCGAGTCAACTTGGTTTCTGACCGTATCCTGTTCAGTTCGTCATCAGTTAGGAAAGGGTTGTTTTGGAAACTCTCCTGGAGTGTTTTGAGTTGCTCAGCCGTCTTCTCCTTGAATTTTTGGGGGCTAAATTCAGAGGCATTCCACAATTGTTTGGGCTGGGGTTGGGTCAATGTTGGGGGCTCGTTGGTTTCATCGCTTGAGTCGATGATGATAGTACAAGAATCGTTGCTGAGATGATTGTAATGGTTGTGCTTTGAGTTCCGCTGGTTGTACCTGGTATCGCTGAACCACTTTTTGATCTCTCCTTTTGTCAGGCCTGTGATTTTCATGAGTCTATTGATCTCGGAATCTAGAGGAAAGTGGCTTTTCAGGTAGCTGATCTTCAACTCCGTCAGCTGCTCCTTGGTCTTCTTTGTACGGCTTCCAACTGCGTCAATGCTGGCTGCCACCACCTCCGATTTGGTAAGCTGTGGGGCGGGGACAGCAGCAACTTGCTTGGTTTCAGTGACAGGCTGGGTGGCTTGGACCTGGGCTTTCTGCAACTGGGCATGGTTTGGGACTCCTGCCACCGTCAAAGCTATTGGGGCTGTCACCGGAAGTGTCCCAGCACCTGCTACTTGCGCAAGCACTAGGCCTGGCTGGCCAACAATTTGGCACGTCTGCAGAATGGATGGCAGGCCATTGCTACCGGCCGAAATGTGCGCCGGAATAACCGTAATAGTCTGAGGGACAGTATGCACAGTCCCGTTGAACTGCTTCCTCCGTGCTTCTTCCACTTCCTCTGGAGTCCAGCTCACCCCATGTTTCAGGCGCTGGGCAGAGAACCAGATCTTGATCTGCTCTTCAGTATATTTCGCCTGAGTTGCTAGAAGCGTGATTTCAGATACCGTTGGGTAAGGGAATTTGTTGTAGGTGTTAAGCAACAGTGGATTGGTATCCAAAGCAGTGTTGTAGGCTGGAATGCTATTTATGGGGATCAAGACTTTAGAAATTAAGGTTGAGTTCTGCGGAGAGGCTATGGTAGTTATCACTTGTGCGGGTTGAACCACAGTTGTAGGATTTACAACTGTGCTGATTGTTTCTGCAGCCAGCGTAGTATTTGCACTGGACTCTGAGACCGTCGTGGCTGGTTTATCAATTACTTCTTCACACTCTGGGTCCGTTTCAGCATCTTTTTCCTCCACCAGATCTTCCTCTCCTGCAGTGTGGAAAACAGCAATTCGTTTGGTTTCATTCTTATTTTTCATCATTTTCATGATTGGGGTTTTGCTAATTGAGATGCTGGACAAGGGACCCTCAAAACACTCAAATTCTTCAGCTTTCTCCTCCTGCACAAAACTGCCGTCGAACGTCAGGTCATTCACAGTTTGCTCAAAGATTGTCTTGTTGTTGCGCTTCACCATAGTCAGCTTGAAGTTTTCCTCTCCAGGGTGATACTTGACATTATGCTCAGAAAGAGAATCATACCGTTTAGTCACAAACTTGCATTCGAGACAGACATAGGAGGAACTCAGCACCACTTGAGGATGCTCAGAATCCACATGGAAAGTAAACATGTTGAGATCTGCAGTCTGAAATGCGCAGTATTTGCATTCGTAGCCACCTTCGATTTTTTTGTTTTGCTGATTGTCTGAGTCCACGTACTCGTGAAAGTCCTCGTCGCTTGACATGCTACCTAATGGGGTGAGCACAGGTGGCCCTTCATCAACATCAGATGCTACTTCTAGGTCCGGATCCGGCTGGCTTGCTAGGACCATGCAGGGCGTTGTGGATTTCCGCTTACTTGCCATTCTATTGCAGTGGAAACACAAACTGGCAACACGGAGGCGGATCCTGTCCCTTCAGGCGCTTCCTGAGGCTTGACTTTTGATGCTACATCAATGCATGGTAACTTCTCAGCAATTAGCCCGTTAGCAGCATTTTTATAGTGCAACTAGGTAAAACAGTAACTTGCAGTCCAAGGGGTTAAAGAACGGGCAACCACTTCTTAACATCTGCGCCTGCCACCTGTATTTCAAAAGAGACAAAAAGGGAGAAAAGATGTTTCAATACATTTTTCTCCCAGTCATTTCAACTGAAAGAAGCATTTCAGCCCCATTCATACTGGTGATATCCACACTCAAAATTTAGTATTCTGCTCATGTACTGTGGCACCATTAACTATTTCATTATTAAGTAAATATACAGCAGTGCCCCCCCCCCCACCCCACATCCCATTTGTGGTTTTTGACTTTTGCAGATTTGATGTAAAATGTTGTATCTGGGAATATCTAGAACAGGGGTCCTCAAACTTTTAAAATAGAGGGCCAGGTCACAGTCCCTCAAACTGTTGGAGGGCCAAATTATAATTGGAAAAAAACATGAATGAATTCCTATGCACACTGCACATATTTTATTTGTAGTGCAAAAAAAAACACTTAAAAACAATACAATAATTAAAAGGAAGAACAATTTCAACAAATATAAACTTATCAGTATTTCAATGGAAGTGTAGACCTGCTTTTGGCTGATGAGATAGGATTGTTGTTGTTGTGTGCTCTCAAGTCATTTCAGACTTAGGTTGACCATGAGTAAGGGCCAGGTAAATGACCTTGGAGGGCTGTACCCGGCCCCTGGGTCTTAGTTTGGGGACCCCTGCTCTAGAACCTCCAGTATGACTCCAGTATGGTCAACTTCCTCCAGTCTTGTTGGATAACTTATTGAAGAGGTTTCTAAACATGTCATGTGAGTGACACACTTTTTGGACACACATCATTTCGCAACACAGGAATTCAGTTCTACTAGCAAAACAGAGGTTAAACCAACCCCTTATAAAAGATACGGACACACACACAAATTGTAATAACGAAATGTATGGGGACACAACACATCTCATGTAAACGTTAACTTACATGTCAAAAAAAAGTATGGTTTAGTGGTTCCCAACCCATGGGATATGGCCCATTGGTGGGCTGCAAGACCTAAAATAAGGTCTGCAATTGGGGGTGCATGTCGCTGTTGGAGGAAAGTGAGAGGGAAGGAGAGGGAGAGAAGGAAGGAAGGAGGCCAGCGCCATTGACATTGCCCTCTCAGCTTCCCTAGCGCTGTTGGAGGAGACCAAGAAAGAGGAGAGGGAGAGAAGGAAGGAAGGAGGCCAGCACTGTTCTTGCTGCTTCCTTGGCACCATTGGAGGAGAGCAAGAGAGAGAAGAAGCATCCCCCAAAGTTGCTGTTGTTGTTGTTGTTCTTCTTCTTATTATTATTATTATCATCATCATCATCATCATCATCATCATCTCCCATTGCCAAACACAAGAGTTGTAATAGGAAAGCAGCCCTTTGAACAACCCTGCTCAATCCCCCAAAGTAGTAGTAGTAGTAGTAATAATAATAATAATAATAATAATAATAATAATAATAAGTTCCCATTGCCAAACACTGTTACAGTAAGTCATAACAAGATCTCGTGTGTGTGTGTGTGTGTGTTAAAGAAAACTGTATGCTGTTAATTATTATGTGCAGCTGCTAATGTAGATCATCTAATAAGTTTGGACCTCACCCGGTGGGGTATAACTGTATGGTTTTTAGAATACAGATCAGCTTTGGCTCGGAGGAGCTTTTGCTCAGGCATTTTGCTCAGTCATTTCTACTGCTCACTCATTTGGATGATGAAGAAGCCTTATTCTGTATTGCTTACAAAGACTATGTAAGTTTGTTGCACTGTTTGTAAAATTGCAAGTTTGTGTTTTAACTCTTGCCTGGGTGCAATGTTATTGTGTCTTCTGCATTGAACTTGACTGAAATACGCTTAGTGCAACAGGCACAAGAGTTGTAATAGGAAAGCAACCCTTTGTAAGACCCTGTTTAGTCCCCCATAGTAGTAATAGTAGGTTTTTTTTTTTTGTCGTGTCAGGAGCAACTTGAGAAACTGTGAGAGAATTGGCCGTCTGTAAGGACATTGCCCAGGGGACGCCCGGATGATTTGATGTTTTATCATCCTTGTGGGAGGCTTCTCTCATGTCCCCGCATGAGGAGCTGGAGCTGATAGAGGGAGCTCATCCGCCTCCCCCCGGATTCGAACCTGCGACCTGTCAGTCTTCAGTCCTGCTGGTACAGGGGTTTAACCCACTGCGCCACCGGGGGCTCCAGTAGTAGTAGTAGCAGTAGCAGTAGCAGTAGTAATTATTATTAATAATAAAACTGTTAGGGACAGTTTCTTGGGTCTCGCACTCTGCTTTTTGTATTTTTTTCAACCTCACTCCCTCTTCTTTTCTTTCTTTTTTTTACATGAGCACTAACAAAATCCACAAATTATAAAACAGCCCAACCAAAAAAAAAATTTTTTTCTGGGTGTTTTCGTTTATAGGCCTGTTCCTGGGATTATTTGGGGTGCTGATTTAGAAAATTGCATTGGATAGACCACATCAGCTCTAGATTATTAAATATGGTTTTCTGTGGGCGAGCAGATGGCGACTACTGAATGGCATATGTTCTGTATCAGAATCTAGAGCTGATGTTGTCTATACAATGCAATTTTCTGAATCAGCACCCCAAATAACCAAACCGAATATAAAGTTGACCAAAAACTGATTCGTAACTCTTTTGGTATTAAGGTTACAGAGAGGTCCCCAGTCAAAAAAAAGTAGCATAGACTCAGAGATTTCACTATAAGACATCTAGAAGCTGGTGTTCAATAATATTGGGAGACTAAAGTTTTGAAACCGTTGGTGTAAACCAAGCTAAGGATATAATAAAAAAGGACATGAGAAAATCAAGACTGCTTACTACTTTTGCAGATGTATTGGTGAGCATTCGTCGCTAGCAATACAGACATTTGTCCTCTTTGAAATAAAAAAAGAGCCTGCCGCACAAAATGGTTAACAAACAGGCATCATAGCCAAACTCCTGGCTGTCCCAATTTCTCCTCAGTTAGCAGGAGATGCCAAAGATTTCTATTCTGCAGGAGTCTGTGTGAACTTGACACCGTTTGTTGGTGTCGGTTTCACCAGTAGACGCTTTTTGTACTGCTGCACACATGAAATTCAGCTTTTTGTTTTAAGTTTTGGGCCAAAGGGAGGAAGAAGCCTTTCAGTTTGCTTGCTTATTTGCGTTTTGTGGTTATTACTCAATCTCTCCATCTGAAGTGGCTCAAGAAAAGTTCTCCAAGCTCACAAGACTTTTGGCTGTTACTCTAGAGTCATGTCTGTGCTTGGGCCAAGTCAAGGGCCATATACACACACACAACTAATTTAATAGATTAAATATTAATTTAAAAGATTCATGCTTCTACAAGGCTACCTCTCCTTTTTTGGAAATTGGAAACTAACTTGGAAAAATTAGTTTTTTGGATTAGATTGCTTGGAATATACAAACCAATGTGGTTGCAGGATTCTGGGTGTTGTAGTCCAAAAGAGGGACTTTGCCAAACTATAATTAGAAGCTGCTTTACATTACATTTGCCTATTTCTCCATCTTCTCCAGTACTGAAGCAAACCCCAGAGTCCCATATTCAGCAATGACAGGTCATGGTAGGGATCCAATGTTCTACCCTGGGGTAGTTAAGAGTCCATCTCCATGGGCAAACATTGAAAATCAAAACAAAAAATCCCAAGCTAAGGGTTAAAGTAATGGTATTCCCCCTATGGATGCAAGAACTGGACCATAAGGAGGCTGAGCGAAGATAGATGCTTTTGAACCATGGTGTTGGGAGGAAAATTCTGAGGGTGCCTTGGACTGCAAGAAGATCAAACCAGTCCATACTCCAGGAAATAAAGCCCAACTGCTCACTGGAGGGAAGGATATTAGAGGTAAAGATTAAGTACTTTGGCCACATCATGAGAAGACAGGAAAGCTTGGAGAAGAGAATGATGCCGGGGAAAATGGAAGGAAAAGGGAAGAGGGGCCTCCCAAGGGCAAGATGGATGGATGGTATCCTTAAAGTTACTGCTTGACTTTGAAGGAGCTGGGGGTGGCCACGATTGACAGGGAGCTCTGGCATGGGCTTTTCTATGAGGTCACAAAGAGGCGGAGACAACTGAATGAATAAACAACAAAGGGTGACAAAAATGGAATTTTAAAAATATTAAATAGCATTTTTAAAAAGCTACAAGAGATTTAGGCTTACTTAGATCTTGGAGTCCTTGTGGACAACGAATTAAACATGAGCCAACAATGTCATGTGGTGGCAAAAAAAGCCAATGGGATTTTGGCCTGCATCAATAGGAACATAGTGTCTAGATCCAGGGAAGTCATGCTACCCCTTTGTTCTGCCTTGGTTAGACCATACCTGGAATACTGTGTCCAATTCTGGGCACCATAATTGAAGGGAGATATTGACAAGCTGGAATGTGTCCAGAGGAGGGCGACTAAAATGATCAAGGGTCTGGAGAACAAGCCCTATGAGGAACGGCTTAAAGAGCTGGGCATGCCTGAAGAAAAGAAGGCTGAGGAGAGACATGATGGCCATGTGTATAAATATGTGAGGGGAAGTCATAGGGAGGAGGAAGCAAGCTTATTTTCTGTTGCCCTGGAGACTAGGATGCGGAACAATGGCTTCAAACTTCAGGAAAGCAGATTCCACCTGAACATTACAAAGAACTTCCCGACTGTGAGAGCTGTTCAGCAGTGGAACTCTCTGCTTTCCTCTGGATGCATTCCAGCTTGTCAACATCTCCTTTCAATTGCAGTGCCCAGAGTTGGACACAATGGGATTCCAGGTGTGGTCTGACCAAGGCCTAATAGAGGGGTAGCACGACTTTCCTGGATCTAGACACTATACTCCTTTTTATGCAGGCCAAAATCCCATTGGCTTTTTTAGCAGCTGCATCACATTGTTGGCTCATCACATTGTTAACTTGTTGTCCACAAGGACTCCAATATCTTTTTTACACATACTTCTCTCGAGCCACGCGCCCCCCATTTTGTATCTTTGCATTTCATTTTTTCTGTCTAAGTGGAGTATCTTGCATGTGTCCCTGTTGAACTTCATTTTGTTCATTTTGGGCCATTGCTCTAATCTGTTAAGATCATTTTGAATTCTGCTCCTGTCTTCTGTAGTATTGGCTATCCCTCCCAATTTGGGAAGGATAACATTGAAGACATTACAAAAAAGTTTAATAGAGATGCTAAGAAATGAACTTGGGACCACCTACATGAAAAGCATAGGAGTTATCAATAAATCTCAGCATCTTCTGTCTTCTAAACATCAGGAATGTGCTATGTGCACAAAAACTTGCCTATGACACTTCATCCACCCTGAAAATATTCAGAAGCTGGATATGGAGGGACTACATCTACATGGAGCAGGTTGATCCTGGCCTGGAGCTGCCCTTGACCCAGGTCATACCTGCTGAATCTGAGGTTAGTTTCCTGATGTCCTCAAACTGGTGTGTCCCCTTGTCACTACTGCTGCTCCCCACTTGCCATGGGGAGCTTACTCATCACTGAATGCATCTGCTGATGTCAGAATGGGGCACCTGCAGAACTAGCAAGGAGATGGGAGAGCATCCCGCAGCTTCTTGCTGGTTGTCTGGGTGCCCCATTCTGACATCACCAGATGAAACCGTGATGGCAAAGCACTTGCGGGAGCTCTGCAGCCAGAGGGTCATCCCAGTGGTAGTGTCACAGGGATCATCTCCAAGGCACAATAGGGGCAGAGTCAAGCTGTTCAGATGGCAGTAAAGCAATGTTTCTCAACTTGGGGGTTGGGACCCCGAGGGGGGTCACATGAGGTTGTCAGAGGGGTCGCCAAAGAGCATCAGAAAACATAGTATTTTCTATTGGTCATGGGAGTTCTGTGTGGGAAGTTTGGTTCAATTCTATTGTTGGTGGGGTTCAGAATGCTCTTTTGATTGTTGCTGAACTATAAATCCCAGCAATAATAACTCCCAAATGTCAAGGTTTATTTTCCCCCAAACTCCACCAGTGTTCACATTTGGACATATTGAGTATTCGTGCCAAGTTTGATCCAGATCCATCATTGTTTGAGTCCACAGTGCTCTCTGGCCATAGGTGAACTACGTCTCCAAAACTCAAGGCCAATGCCCACCAAACTCTTCCAGTATTTTCTGCAGGTAATGGGAGTCCTGTGTGCCAAGTTGGGTTCAATTCCATAGTTGGTGGAGTTCAGAATGCTCTTTTATTGTACGTGAACTATAAATCCCAGCAACTACAACTCCCAAACAACAAAATTTACCCCCTCCCCCCAACTCCACCAGTATTCAGATTTGGACTTATCAGGTATTTGTGCCAAATTTGGTCCAGTAAATGAAAATACATCCTGCATATCAGATATTTACATTAGGATTCCTAACAGTAGCAAAATTACAGTTGTGAAGTATCAACGAAAGTAATGTTATGGTTGGTGGTCACAACATGAGGAACAGTATTAAGGGGTTGCAGCATTAGGAAGGTTGAGAAACACTGCAGTAAAGCCACAGGACACTCCAAGGTTTCCTGCAAACTTTTGAGTATCCCTCAACTTTGCCTAAAGAGGAGCAAAATTGGGTTAATGGCAGAAAACCCAGGATATTCACTGGAAGTCAGCACACGTTGTATCCATAGCCTGCACTGGGTTTGAGGAAAGTCCAGATTTATTTGTTAATATGACAAGCCATGTATTTCCATGCAAAAGGTCCCAGGTTCCATCCTTAGTATCTACAGCAGTAGTTCTTAACCTTCCGAATGCCGTGACCCCTTAATACAGTTCCTCATGTTGTGGTGACCCCCAACCATAAAATTACTTTCGTTGCTACTTCATAACTGTAATTTTGCTATTGTTATGAATCATAATGTAAATATCTGATATGCAGGATGTATTTTCATTCACTGGACCAAACTGGGCACAAATACCTGATATGCTTAAATTTGAATACTAGTGGAATTTATTTTGTCATTTGGGAGTTGTAGTTACTGGGATTTATAGTTCACCTACAATCAAAGAGTATTCTGAACTCCACCAACGATAGAATTGGGCCAAACTTGGCACACAAACCCCCATACTAACAGAAAATATTGTGTTTTCTGGTGGTCTTTGGTGACCCCTCTGACGCCCCCTTGCAACCTCCCCAGGAGTCCCAACCCCCTGATCTACAGGTACATTCAAATCAGGCAAACTGATGATCCCCCAGCTGATATTGAAGCAGAACTGTTATCATAGCCAATGGCTAGCTTTACTGGCTGTGGCTAATGAATTTTTGAGTCCAAGTACCTCTGAAAAAAAAGGAACTCAGCTAAAAAGTGATGTCAAAGATGTCCAGTGGGCACCTTCCAAAAGATAATTGTCTGATAGAGTAGACCAATCTGAATTGGATAACCATTTCACTTGACATAGCTTCCATTCTGTACATGAGATCCACCAGGCTGGATCTACACTGCCACATAATCCAGATTATCAAATCAGATAATCCAGTTTATTTGCTTTGAACTGGATTTAAACTCTGTTTAAAAACCTCCAGAGAAGGAGACTCCCACCACTCTTTAAGTTTGCATATTCCACTGTCAAACAGCTCTAACTATTAGGAAGTTCTTGCTGCTATTTTGGTGCAATCACTTCTCTTTTTGTTTGAATCTGTTGAATCTGTCTTAGGGAATTTCTACACTGTAGAATTAATGCAGTTTGATACCACTTTAATTTCCATGGTTCAATGCTATGAAATTATAGCAGTTGTAGATGTAGAAGGCTTTTACAGGGGACGCGGTGGTGCAACGGGTTAAACCATTGAACTTTTGAATCTGCTGATCTAAAGGTTAGCAGTTCGAAGCCATGGGTCGAGGTGAGCTCCCACTGTGAGCCCTAGCTCCTGCCAATCTAGCAGTTCATGAACATGCAAATGCGAGTAGATCAATAGGTACTGCTTCAACAGGAAAGTAATAAAAGGCACCCATGCGGGCAACTCAACCAGGCGGTATCTACTGACAACAGGCACCTTGGCTTGGAAATGGAACAAGAGCATCTCCTCATGGCCAGAGTTGAGCACCTCCTCCAGAAAGCCGGAGACGAAAGGGGAAGCCTTTACCTTTGTTCTGTGTATTTGTATGTTGTTGTTATTCCACTGTATTAAGGCATTTAATGTTTGCCTATCTGTACATGTTGTAATCCATTCTGAGTCCCCTCTGGGAGATAGAGCAGAATATAAATAAAGATTAATAATAATAATAATAATAATAATAATAATAATAATAATAATAAATCTTCTCTGCCAGAGTCTTAGTGCCTTACTAAACTACAACTCCCATTATTTGACAGCACTGAGCCATTGCAATTATTCTGGTGCCAAACTGTGGAGGCACCTTTAGTTTCTGGACCAGCATCAAACAAGCCTGCTCCATCCTCAATATGAGAAAACATAGAACTTCCAACATTTTTCAGAAAGCTATTTAACCAAAACAATCAATGGGCACATGTGAAATGAAACAACCATTTCAGGTAAGAAACATTTTGATCAGTCTAGAAATCATCTGAAAGCTTCTCCCAGGGATATTTTTTTCTCATTCACCACCATTCATTTTTCTTATAATCCCCATTTTGTTCCCATGCTGGTGGTGGCAAGTGAGAGAAGCATTTTCTGCTTTCAACTTTTCTCCCTGTTTATGCAGCTGATGCATGCTCAGTAAGGGATGCTGGAGATAACTTCTTTTTTACTATTCTTCTCTAGATTGACTAGAGAAGAATTCCATCATTTCCCAGGTAAAGCTCCATTGCATTGTTTACAGCAGGCCTCCTGCAGGAATCTAACTCTAAGTGAAAAGTAAAAGCTGGGCTTCCTCCATGTCCCACTCTGTCTGTTGTGTTACATCCTTCTCAGAGAAACACAAGTAGCTGCTTTATACTGAATTAGACTAGAGGACCATCTAGTCCTGTAATACTGAATCTGACTGGCTCTCCAGTATTTCAGGCAACAGCCTTTCCTACCCAACCTTTGATGGGAAGCCACCTTGAGAGCCTGATGGTTTCCCATCAAAGCCCCGACCCTGTGTATCTTCTGAAATATGAAATTGTACTGTACAATATTAATTCTTTTGTGAAAGGGAAAGGAACTGTACTGTTTGGAGAAAGCGGTAGGAAATTTAAGTTATATAGCAATTGGAGCAGTGGTTCTCAACCTGTAGATCCCCAGGTGTTTTGGCCTACAACTCCCAGAAATCCCAGCTACTTCATCAGCTGTTAGGATTTCTGGGAGTTGAAGGCCAAAACATCTGTGGACCCACAGATTGAGAACCACTGAATTGGAGGAAGAGAGAAGCATAATAAGAGAGGTCAGATATGTGGTCAACAAAGTTCTGAAAGTACGAGATGACAGGCTTGTGTGAGAAAGGAGATGAGATTGTTGTAGTTAGTTTGAAATATAGCAAATGCCTGGAAAAGCAAGACTAATCAGAGAGTAAATCGGGTGTAGCACACACATTACCTGTCACAGTGTCCAGATGTGTCTTCAGAGGCCGATGACCTCCTCCAATTATACACTAATTGTAATTCTCCTCAGAGACTCCAGTTCTTTATCTCCATCTCTTCCTATGGACAGAAGGAGGTTCATCTTCTTCTGCACACCCACCAGGATGGTAGTATTAGATATTCTGAAAAACAAAAGTACAAATGCATCTTTTTAGAAATATTATTGACTTCCTCCTTATGTAAGGTGAACCTATTGCAGGGTTATCTTGGCAAAATTTGTTCAGGGAGCCTTGTCATTGGTCTTCCTCTCAGGATGAAATAGTATGATTTCTGCAGGATCACAAAGTGGGTTTCTAGGGCTGAGTAGGGATTCTAACTCTGGACTTCCAGATCCCAAACCCTATGTTCAAATCATTATGCTACACTGGCTCTTCATTGTAGACTTTGTTGTGTGCCTTCAAGTCATTTCCGACCCTACCATGGGGTTTTGTTCAGACCAAGACCTACCTCTGAGACCTTGTGGCTTGTCCAAGGCCACCCAGTTTGTTTCCAATTGACCAGTGATTCAAACCCTGATTTCCCGAATTGTAATTCAGTGCTCAAACCGCAACACCACACTGGACCAACGTCTGGTCAATGACAACTCTAAGACAGAGGTAGAGATCATGTCCCCAACAAAGGGCAGTTTCCTTTATATCAAAACATTATAGAGGAGGGGGAATGGACAGTCTGCAGTGGGCAGGGCAGAGTTGCACCATTTCTGGATTGCACATCCCTCCCTTTTCTCTCTCACTACATTGGCCATGGACTCCCCATTCCACTTGGAGGTCTATATACAATTTTGCAACCACAGCGCAGCTACCCAAATAGAATATCTTGGCACAGTTAAAGATTACGAAGTCCCTTGAATCCAAACTTCTTTTATGGTTTCACTGCACTTTTGTATATGTAGCAGAGAGCTGTATTTGGAAAAGGAAAGCTTGGTTTCAAATCTTGGCTTAGTTTTGGCGCTTCATGGGTTTGACTCATAAATCGTCTCCTTCTGACTCACCTAACCCTACAACAGGCATGAGCAAACTTCGACCTTCCAGGTGTTTTGGACTCCAACTCCCTACCGGCTGTTAGGAATTGTGGGAGTTGAAGTCCAAAACACCTGGAGGGTCGAAGTTTGGCCATGGTTGCCCTACAAGGTTGTGATCGGCACAAATACAGGGTTGCTGTGAGTTTTCCGGGCTGTATGGCCATGTTCCAGAAGCATTCTCTCCTGACATTTCGCCTACATCTATGGCAGGCATCCTCAGAGGTTGTGAGGTATGCACAGATATAGATCTCTCCCTTATTGACACAAATGTGACAGATTTAATCCTGGTCACTTGGCTTACCTTCAGCCACGAAAAAGGCACACAAATCCCATTTCCCTGTGAGCCACTCCCTCTCAAGTATTTTGCTGGGTGCATTAAAAAAAAAACAAAAATAGGAGGAAAGGGATCCCTTATTCCCAAGTAGTAACAAGATATTTTTCGCAACAGTGTAATTATACTATGAACATGAGGGAAAATAATTTTGCACTAAGTTTCTTTGTAGTGCAGGTTGATGGTAGACTCTTATCATCTTGGCCCTCTTTCCATCACAAGGGACTAAACTTTGGCTAAACTGTCACGTCTATTCCCTCTGAATCATTGTAAGGAATGCAAACAATAGAAATGGGAAAGCATTGATCAGAAAGCACAAAAATAATGCCTAAAATTGCCCCTCCCCATCACTCCCAGCATTTCCTCTGGATTTTTAGCAAGTGCTTCAATGTGTCTTTTCAAGCAAGTCTCCTCCTTTTGTTGTTCTTCCTCTGCTTCCCCCAAAACAGCAACAACCCAAAACTGGGGAGACAGAACTGGGGTGTCAGAAACCCTTTATCTCTCAGTTTAGTTCCAAAAATATCTTTTTAAAAAAATCTTTTGGGGTGCAGCCATGTGACACCCATCTCTCTCAAAAAGGAGGAGCTCTAAAAATGAAGAGATTGGAAAGAAGAATCAAAATGCTAGTGGATTTTCCCCCCTCTCCCACCAATTTATTTCCCACCTCCTTGTTCCAAGCTTTGTGGGCATTTCAGGCATAGAGGGACTCCTGCATCCCTGGTCCCATCCCTAATGCTAAAGATCCTTTAGCAAAACATAAATATATATATTTGAAAATCCCCCTACCTTTGCAATGCGTAAAGGCTGCCTGTTAGCTTTCTGCCTGTTCAGTACAAGTCCGCCATCTTGCATTAAAAAAAATACTGCACTTTTTTGGGGGAAAGGAGGAGGAGGAGGAGGAGGAGGAGTGATGCTTGGTGAACTTTGAACTGGCACTTTGTAGAAAAAGGGGGGAGGACCAGACCAGCTCTGCAATCCTCTTTCCCAAATGCAGCTTGCACTGGAGAGGTTCCCATTCAAATGTTTTCTTCTTCTCCCTTGTTGTTGTTGTTGTTGTTGTTGTGAAAAGAGGAAAAAAAGGGGGGGGGAGTGGAGGAAAGCTCGCGAGTGTGTGCAAATGCACCAGTCCCACAAGAGAAACAAGCAGGAAGGAAACAAGGGAGAGAGAGAGGAGGAGCCAAAGCCCCAGCTCTCTGCAAAAGGGAGACTGACTCTGCCTCTCCAGGTCCCTGGTTAGCCAACAGAAAGCAAGGGGCTGATTGGATCTAGCTAGATTGAACCCTGGCCATTGGGAATGGGATCCCTGGCAATGCACACACAGGAAAGGAAGGGAGAAAGAGAAAGGAAGCAGGGAGGGAAGGGAGGGGAGCAAGAGGGCGTTCCTCCTCCGAGGTTCCCCAGAAAGGAAGCTGGAGAGTGGGAGGCAGCAAAAGGAGGTCACTGTCTCCAAATCAGATTTCTGCCCTCTTCAAGTGCAAGTTTGTTTCCATCTCCAAATGTTTAGCATTGCATTGACTTAGGGCTTTTTTATTTATTACATTGTACAATAAATGCAATAAATTGTACAAGAAACATTAACAACCTCAGATATGCAGATGACACCACTCTGATGGCCAAAAGCGAGGAGGAGCTAAGGAGCCTTCTAATCAAGGTGAAAGAAGAAAGTGCAAAAGCTGGGCTGCAGCTAAACATCAAAAAAACTAAGATTATGGCAACAAGAATGATTGACAACTGGGAAATAGAGGGAGAAATGTGGAGGCCGTGACAGACTTTGTATTTCTAGGTGCAAAGATTACTGCAGATGCAGACTCTGGCCAGGAAATCAAAAAACGCTTACTTCTTGGGAGGAGAGCAATGTCCAATCTTGATAAAATAGTAAAGAGTAGAGATATCACACTGGCAGCAAAGATCCGCCTAGTCAAAGCCATGGTATTCCCTGTAGTAACCTACGGATGTGAGAGCTGGACCTTAGAGAAGGCTGAGCGAAGGAAGATCGATGCTTTTGAGCTGTGGTGTTGGAGGAAAGTTCTGAGAGTGCCTTGGACTGCGAGAAGATCCAACCAGTCCATCCTCCAGGAAATAAAGCCCAGCTGCTCATTGGAGGGAAGAATAGTAGAGGCCAAGATGAAGTACTTTGGCCACATCATGAGGAGACAGCAAAGTCTAGAGAAGACAAATATGCTGGGGAAAGTGGAAGGAAAAAGGAAGAGAGGCCGACCAAGGGCAAGAGGTATGGATGCCATCCTTGAAGTGACTGGACTGTCCTTGAAGGAGCTGGGGGTGGTGACGGCCGACAGGGAGCTCTGGCGTGGGCTGGTCCATGAGGTCACGAAGAGTCGGAGACGACTGAACGCATGAACAACAACACAATAAATGCAATTTGATAACTCTTGAACTGCCAGGGCTCAATGCTATGGCATGGTGGGAGTTTAGTGAGGCACCAGCATTCTTTGGCACAGAAGAAGATATATAGTGTCTAGGAGTCTAGTGTCTAGATCCAGGGAAGTCATCCTACCACTCTGTTCTGCCTTGGTTATACCACACCTGGAGTATTGTGTCCAATTCTGGGCACCACAATTGAAGAGAGATGTTAACAAGCTGGAATGTGTCCAGAGGAGGGCGACTGAAATGATCAAGGGTCTGGAGAACAAGCCCTACGAGGAGCGGCTTAAAAAGCTGGGCACAAAGAAGACATATGACAAAGGGTCCTTGGCAGTCATTTTGCAAAGAAAGTACACACACTGATTTATGAGTCTAAAAAGTGTCCTAACTTACAGCATGTTACGACTTTCTGCCTTGTAAAGCCCGTAGTGGAATTGCGGGTACTATTGGACATCAGAAGTGGTATAGGAGGCGGCAGATCCCATCTGATCCTGGAAACTACACAAGGTAAACTCTACCTTGTATGGAAACCACCACAGTGTATTGGATGGAAACCACTCAAAGGTGCTATAGGACCTGGTAAAACCACCTCTTGAGTTTTTCCTGTGAGAAAACTCTGATATTTATAAGATCATAACTGAATGTCATTTTCCTGCTTCTTGGCAGAGGGTTGGTCTTGATGGCCCACGAGGTCTCTTCCAACTCAATGAATCTTTGATTAAATTGATAAGACCACTCGAAGGCATGTACACACACATTTTTGAATATTTGTCTTCCAAGTGTAGGGTCTTGGCAGTGGCTACGTAGATGACTGTGGAGCCCTATTCTTGACCTGCATGTTCTTCCACAGTGAGGACTTTGGTTTCCAGGTGGAAGGCGGTCCCGATCAGGGTTGGCTTGACATGTCTTCCTCTTGGTACATTTCTCCTCTGCGCTCTCCAAAACTAGAATCATCACCCAGCCCATTAACAGATTCAGTGCAGGGCCATAGGATCTGAATCAACAAAATGTTACGATCTGCATGTGGACATGCAGTGATGTACTGATTTCACGTGGGCAGGGAAAAAGCTCCAGGCGTCAAAACACATGTCTTGTGATTATTTATATATAATATAAAGCATTTTGATGAAAGTTGTTCTCATCCCATCTTTTTCTCCAGTCCAGGACTCAGGACAGCACAGGAAGTTTAAAATTAATAGTTTTAAAATTCATATCATACAAAAAGTAAAAATATAATTAACAATACAGGTATAGTCTCTGTCAAAGAAGCCCCTTTTAATACATTATTTTTATACTTCCAGCCTCTTTGTTCTCAGTCTAGCTGAAATTTTCCTTTAGCAGCATCAGCACTGGAAAGGTAGTGAAATTTTTGAGAAGAGGTTGAAGCAGCCTGTTTGCAGTATAGGTAAAGGTTTCCCCTTGATATTAAGTCTAGTTGTGTCCGACTCTGGGGGTTGGTGCTCATCTCCATTTCTAAGCCAAAGAGCCGCCATTGTTCATAGACGCCTCCAAGGTCATGTGGCCGGAATGACTGCATGGAGTGCCATTACCTTCCCGTTGGAGCAGTACCTATTGATCTACTCACATTTGCATGTTTTTGAACTGCTAGGTTGGCAGATGCTGGGGCTAACAGCAGGAGCTCACCCCACTCCCCAGATTAAAATCTTTCGGTCAGCAAGTTCAGCGGTTTAACCTGCTGTGCCACCAGGGGGCTCCAAATTTGTAATATACAATGCCATAATAAAACCTTCATTTGGGAAACAACAGAATCCGACTCTAGCCTATTCTATTGTAGCTCTGTGCACAGCAGCTGATTCTAGAATAATTCACTAAGCGTAGATGAATAGCTAAAGATGGAGACAAGAGGAAAATAAGCCTGCCCCGTTATTAATCATACAGATATGAAAATGGTCACAAAAATAGAGATCTTAAGAACAGCGAAAGAAAAAAAAGCCATCTCTAGTCTCTTGAAAGTACGTTTTTTAAAAAAATTATTGCAAGGCTTTTAACATGGTTTCATTTCATACACACATATTCATAGTTTTGACTTAAAAGTTTCCTGTAATATGATGCACTTTTCTTTCTTGAATTGTAGGGACATATCATTGTTTTCCCATTCTCTTTCTGCCTCCAGTACCAAATTTTATTGAACAAGTCATGCCTAGGAGCATCTCTACACATGTAATGTTAACCATAATCCCTTTTCTTCCTGGCTTTCTTTTTCACACATAGAATGAGCAAAGTTCAGCATTAACTCATAGTAAAATGTTAAAATCAAGGTTTGGATTTTTGGAATGAAATATTTTCAAGCTATGGATGGTTGAATCAGTGAATACCATGACTCTAAAGCAGTGGTTCCCAACCTTTTTTTGACCAGGGATCACTTTGAACAGTGACCACTCTCCAACATTAGTACCAAAAGGGTTACAAATCAGTTTTTGGTCAACTTTAGATTCGGCTTGGTTATTTGGGGTGCCGATTCAGAAATTTGCATTGGCTAGACCACATCAGCTCTAATTTCTGATACAGAACATATGCCATCCAGTAGTCGCCATCTGCTCACCCAAAGAAAACCATATTTAATAATCTAGAACTGATGTGGTCTACCCAATGCCATTTTATGAATCAGCACCCCAAATAAACCCAGGAACAGGCCTAAAAATGAAGACACGGGTGCCACGTGGAATGGCTCCACTCAGGGAGAGGGAGAAGCAGCAGTCAGGCTTGTTGTCATGCCTTTTGTGGGTAGTTAGCCTCTCATCTCCCAAAATACCTCTTGCCCCAGCATTATAAGAGTGTTTTGTGAGACCAGTCACTCTTGTTGCAACAGTGTAGTAACTGTGAGGCTGTGGACCACATTTTAGTTCTTGCAGACCACTGGTAGTCCACGGACCACAGCTTGGGAACCACCGCTCTGAAGTGTTTTCCTGATTCCAACCATATTTTGCCCCATTGGTGTATTTAATGGTCTAAATAATTTTAAGTGTTCTCATTTCATTTGCCAGTTCTATTTTCTACCGAATGCAGTCATACCTTTAGGAGTTTCCTTAGCTCTCCTGTCTAACCAAATGAACTCTCTTGCTGAGAGCCAGTCCATGTGTAGCATATTCTCTGACTCTGTGCATCTTAAACTATGTGATGTAAGTGGCTTTATCTCCCAATATGCAACAGATCAACATCATATTTGTGCCCATAAGTTATAACTTTTGTTGCAATCATGGACCATCGCTGATCTACTGCTTACGTAAATCTCTGTTCTTGTGGTTTGAATGACACCGAGACATTTCTTTTTCACAGCTTCTTTTATTAAAGCCCCTCTTTGACTCCCCCTTAAAATATAAATATAATCATTTGCATTTTTTGGCATTCTTACATATAGGATCCACTAGCATTTGCCATGCACTTTCAGCGTGTACCCTGTTCAGCAGACTACTATTGATGCAGCTCTAAACAACAGCAATGAAAAGAATTGCTACTCAACCAATGTTAAAGAGTATATAAATTTTATTTTGTCCATTGAAGTTTAACACAAAGTATATATTACATAACATTTGAGAGCACTGAAGAGTTGATGTAAGTTACACCAACACTAGAAAAATTAGAGTAGTGATAAAAAAAAGAAGGCAGAATGCTTTTGAAAATACAGAAATGAGAATACTGAAATATTCTGTCATTGGTCTTCAGCTATATGGAATATCAAGATATCAAATGCATTTTTTCAAAATACAGACACAACGTATTTACATGATTTGTTTTGGATAAATTATTATTTTTATTAAATTTACAGGAGGGAAAATGGTGCTATGTACACATATTTTCAAAACTCAATCCCCCAATTAAAACTCATTTGGGGATATTCTATTTTCAAAACATATTAGCACCAAGTAGTTCCAAAAGATACATTTTCAAAAGAAGGAAAAATCCAAACACACACTATGAAAAGAGTTAGGCACAATGGTGAGCCCACCTGACCTCTTTAGTTCCAGTTGCCAAAGCTATGGCTTTCCCGCCCATGTTGTGTACAAACAAGAACATCTGATTACTGAAATCTACTGCATAGAGACATGCGGCTTCAAATTAATTGCCTGGAACGTCAACAGTTGGAAGACTTCATGAGCAGAACTAAACAAAGGCTGCAATTTCTCTTGAAATTTCCTGAAAAGAGAAAAAGGCACCATGGAAATAAATACACTTTTCTTCTAAATAGCTTCTTACTGAATTATCTTCTGATGGTATGACATTGGCAGATTTGCAGTAAAACAAGTTTTTTTTCTTAGTGTCGGGAGCGACTTGAGAAACTCCTAGTGGGTTTTTGGTGTGAGAGAATTGGCCGTCTGCAAGGACGTTGCCCAGGGGATGCCCAAATGTTTTATTATGCTGTAGGAGACTTCTCTCATGGTCCCACAAGAGAAGCTGGAGCTGACAGTTGGGAGCTCACCCCACTCCTCAAATTCAAACGGCCAGCATTTCTGCCGGCACAAGGGTTTAATCCATTGTGCCACCGGGGCTCCTAGTAAAGCAGGTTGGACAAAAGCAAAGTAATCCAGTGGGAAGAACACACTGGTCCCTTATGCTTCCATTCAATGTGAACTAAAACTGCTGGACAGTAGCTCACTATTGTATATACACACAGCTGAGAGACTGATATAATGTGAAAACTGGCTGAATCATAAAGACTATCACTATAAGGACCAATGCTTCCTTTGGAAATAATGAGAGCACTGTCTCCAATTTTTAATGAAGCTAGAAAGCCAAACGACATTCATGAGGGAGTGTAGTCATGACTCTTTCAAATTTTGTTGTTTAGCAAAAGGGAAAAAATTCCCAGCCAAGGCCCACTTGTTATGGAATCAGAAACCTCCAATCTGCTATGTTAAAATGACACAACATTCTGAAAGTAGTGGGTTGTTGTAGGTTTTTTCTGGACCACTCTCTCAACCACCATGTCAGACTACACAGAGAAGCCATTGAAATACACAAGCATGTGGACAATTTCAACAGAAAGGAGGAAACCATGAAAATGAACAAAGTCTGGCTACCAGTATTAAAAAAAACTCTAAAATTACAACAGCACAACAACAGAGAGGAAACAAACAAGGACATCTAATCACCTCTCAATAAAAGTTTGCTCTAGTCACTGTCAGGCCATTATATGCTAATCAAGGCAGTTAGTTGAAACATTCACACCTAGCTCCAGCAGACAACAGACCTCACTACCTCTGAGGATGCTTGACATAGATGCAGGCAAAACGTCAGGAGAGAATGCCTCTAGACCATGTCCATATAGCCCGAAAAAACCTACAACAACCCAGTGATTCTGGCCATGAAAGCCTTTGACAATACATTCTGGAAGTATCTCTCACTAGCAAATACTGGATTTTAGTAACACAATTCTAAGTTAAGATTTCTTCCTTGTAATGGATTAATATTTAATAATTCAGAAAATCTTTTGCTTGTATTAACATGGAGCCACACAAAAACTAACATGAATACCAAGCACCAGAAACATGAAAAGCAGGACTTGGCGTATTACTATGGCATCCACTGAAAATGAAAACGTGGAGCCAAATGTTCCAATATGTTTGTGACCTCATCTTACATTTAAAATGACTTTTACTTTAAAAAGACTGTAGGAACCGCAATAGTACAGTGAAAGGCACAAGTTTAGAATACATCTATGTAAAATACTGTACCTGTATCAATTCGGTTTTGTCATAGTCTTTGCGATGTCGATAAATACACTGGCTGAGCAAGGCATAAAGTTTTTCCAATTGAAGTATAGTGTAATTTCTGGTTTTCTGAATAACTATTTCCAGCAATTCCTGGGGGGAAAGAGGAATAAAAAAATACACCAATGTTTTTCTTTAAGTTTTTAAAAGATACAACAACTTGGTCTAAGAAGAATATATACTAGGGCTAGGTTTGAACAACTTCGTATTATGATGCAAACCGGACGCTACTGTAACACCCCAAGAAGTGAGAGATTCTGCGTTTGGGGAGAACAAACTGTGGAAGATATTGAACATTTATTAATTGACTGCCTTGCATACACTGAATCGCGAGACAGATATTTACATCCAATATTATCCAACTGCAGGTCCCCCAACAGAAGCGATCTTCTGACATCCCTCTTGCAAGGACAGAAAGATCCATCATAATCAGAGTAAGCCTTTTTATTCTGAAAGCTATCAAGAAAAGAGCAGATTTCCTGAAATAAGAACCAGGAAAATAAGATGCTGACTGTAAATAGAAGGTCAGCTGCTGTCCTCCTTTTTGCCTTGTTTTTTTTACTCGTGTTCTATTTTTGAAATGGTCATATGACGGGTCAAATAAATAAATAAATATTATTATTATTAATTGAAGTATAGTGTAATTTCTGGTTTTCTGAATAACTGTTTCCAGCAATTCCTGGGGGGAAAGGGGAATTTTAAAAAAAAGTGTTTTTCTTTAAGTTTTTAAAAAGATACAACAACAACAACAGTGTCTAGCTCTCTTCGTAGATCATCCACTAAGCAACCAATGCCATTTCAATTCCGTAACCAGGCCTGAAACCAGATTGAAATGATAATGTGCTGCATAAATTCCCAGTGTCTTGATTTCCAGCACCACTAACATTATGGTCAAGGCTCAATAATAATAATAATAATAATAATAATAATAATAATATTCTTATACCCCGCCACCATTTCCCTGAAGGGAATCAGGGCAGCTTAGAAATTGGTAAAAATGCCCACAAAACATAAAAGCAAAACAATCCATTAAAACAAAAACACAATTAAAATAAGAACAATCCAGATAAAAACACTAGCCTAAACTACAGATTACAGAGCACAATGAGAACAAGGCAAATATAGGAATGAGTGTGCGCAGGCAACAGAACTGTACTGTTCTGGTTGTAATGAAAGCATGAAATTTACTCACACAGAATTTATTTAAAAGAGGTCACTTAAAACACAGGCAGCAGTTCCATCAGAGGCTGATGTTATTTCAGTCTAACGAATCATTTATTACATATTTGCCTTCATTGATTACTATTACTCCAGCATAGAAAAAGAAGAATCTATGGACGTACCTCAAGCTTTTGATGATCCACAACCAGGGGAGGCGTTTGCTCCGTGAGAATCTCCATGGCTCTTTCAACACTGATGAGGTGCTGCTGTTCCACCTGAGATCGCCGAGCACGGGTCATGCGCAGCAAACATGTATCTAGAGCAGGGGTGCCAAACACAAGATCATCGAGAGCCACGCCAGCCTTATAGTGGCCTTCAAAGGGCCGTTGAATCCATGGATGGGGAATCCATGGATACAGACTACCTTTTTTGAAAAACAGTGGCGGTGCTCTTTAGCTTTTACCCAGTTTGGGTCCTCAGATGTTATCAAGTGACAATTCCCATCACTTTTGATTATCCACCCTACAAACTAGGGATAATGGGAATTGCAGCCCAACAGCACTTGTGGCTGAGGTTGAGGAAAGGTTAAAGGGCATTTTAAAATCAGGCATCCTATCTGCAAGCCTTGTATCTAAAAATCCAAACCACACTATCTTGACTAAACAGAACAAACTACAGCCTTCTAGATGTTACTGTATCACAACTGCAATGAGATCTAGTCATGATGGCTAATGATGCAGAATAAAGGAGGGGAGGGCACATAAAATGACATAGAAAGCCGGATTTGGCCCATGGGCCTTGAGTTTGACACCTGTGATCTCTATCAGGCACGGGCAAACTTTGGTCCTCCAGTTGTTTTGGACTTCTAACTCCTACAATACTGGCTGTTAGGAATTGTGGGAGTTGAAGTCCAAAATGCCTGGAGCACCAAAGTTTGCCTATGTTTGAGCAACAAAAACAAAGTGAGAACTACCACAAGCACGAACCAGGTGACACACAGGGAATATAATGATCTACAGCAGTGATTCCCAAATTCTGGTTTCACCAGATATTTGGACTTCAATTGCCAGAATTCCCAGCTGTTTATCAAACTGTTTAGGGCTTCTGAGAGTCAAAGTAAAAAAGAGAGAACTAAAATTTGGGAGCTATTGGTCCACAGTAAGAAATGTTATAATGGAATATAGTAATATAACTCTATTTGTTTCCACCATAACTGAAGGAAACATGGAATTTAGACATCTCAAATCTAACCTGCATACTTCCTTCTTAAAACAATTTAAATTAACTATTGCAATTAATTAAAATCTACCCATAGCCTACAGTACCACATTGGGCTACTAGGTGACAATGAGGGAATTCGGCCAGAAAAGTGGCAGATAAAGCGGGAGCCTGAGAAGAAGTCTCTTTAAGAGGAAGAGCCCCTAAGGTTTGGTGCAAAAGCTTGTAGGTAGTTTTAGATGGTCTACTGATCACAGGTTAATTGCATTTTTCTGCATTGAAAAAAGAAGGGTATATGTGATAGATTTGGAAAGCAAAGACAGTTTGCTTTAAGGTCCCCTTTCAGTTATTTTGTCTACCAGGCTGCAATCTATCCTATAGCCACTTACACAGAAAAAGAGGACCAGAATGCCCAGGAAAAGAAGAACCAAGAAAAACCGTGTACCCAAATAAGCCAACAGATGACTTTCCACTTACCATTAGTATCTTTATCCGATGGATGATCCAGTGCATTCCCATTGCATCCTTTGCTTTGTTCTGAGCTTTCAATATCATTATTGCCATTCTCCGATCTACACTTAGTGCCATTATCAGCAGATTGCTCTTTATCTTTCTCTGTACCAGATTCCACAGAGCCACTGCTGCACTGCGCTGGAAACACAACCTGAGATTCTACTATTGGAGTTTGCATTACTTCAGCTCCAGCTTGTTCCATGCTAGAATTGTGATTTTCCAGACATTCTTCTCCATCACTCTCTGCTTCATCTTGCTCTTCTCTTGGAGCTTTATTCTCTTTATTGAAATGAGAAGTCTTCCTCTTTTTACTTAGGTTACCCTGGCACCATAGTCTCTTCCTTCGCAGTTTTCTTTTGGACAACGCTACATATGGAGTAAAAATGAACTTACTTGGGTTTCTCCTTTCTTAAAAACAAGGAATATTAGAACATTGAATGAATGCAACAGATTCCAGGTGCCCATGCAATCCATGAGTCGCCGTTGTAGGCTGAGATATTGCGGTATATAAGCATACAAAATAAATAAATAAATGGGATGTTTAAAGAACCTTCAGTCCACTGCATGAAGAGTCTGAGGTCAAAGCATAAAGCCTTGTTTCCTTGATGCCTGGTGGAATCAAAGGGCTGGAAAATACCCCAAGGGCCATCCAGTTCAACTCCTGCCATGCGGGAAAAGCACAATCAAATCTGCCTTGACAGATGGCCATCCAGCCTATTTAAAAGCCTCCAAAGTGGAACTTCCACCACACTCTGAGGAAAAGAGTTCCACTGAACAGCTCGTACAGTCAGGAAGTTCTTCCTAATGTTCAGGTGGAATCGCCCTTCCTGTAATTTGAACCCATGGCTTGTCTCCAAGACAATAGAAAACAAGGCTGCTCCTTTTAAATATTTAAACATGGCTGTCATGTCTCCATGACAGTGGAGTGCCAGGATCACCCAAAAGAAGCAAAAAGGCAATCCCGCGTCAAATGGAGATCGTTATCTATTTTAAGAGGAGCAATTGTGAAAAGAGGTGACATTCTAGGCAATTATTTATGGTATTTCTATCCCGCCTTTCTCAGCCTGAAGGTGACTCAATGCTTTTCACCCACAAGCATCAAGCTCCCTAAGTAAAGGAAACAACTGACAAAACCAAATAACAAAACTAGACACATTCAAGAGGGATGGGGGAAGCCAGCTGGGCTTGCCTGCCGTAGACAAGGGCACTCCCTGATCTGTCACCGGTTGAGTGAAATAATATAACCCCTGCCTTTTTGAGCAATCAGGATCAGTGGGTGGCTTGGGACATCTGCCAAATTCTTCTCTGTCTTCCTGAACTGTTAAGCTTTCCAAATAAAGCTCAACACAGGTGCAGAAGTGAAGAAAACTACAACAATATCATGAAGGATTCTTAAATGTCAGACTCCCAAATTATTATTCAATCCAATAACTATGAGGCAGATATATGAAGGACAGATTTTTTGGTTTTTTTGCTTTTGCATTGTGTTCATCAGGGTTCTGGATGCAGGGGAAAGGCAAACTAATGTAGTTGTGAGCAATTTGGTACCATTTTAGAACACAATATTTTTTTTCTTTTATGGGGAAAAACTGGAATTTTCAAGATATTAATAATACAGCTTGACAACACTTCAGAAAAACTTACCAAGAAATAAAATACTAATAAAACAGCACTTACTATTAGGATGCAAGGGAGAACTAGAATCCAAAGGTGTTGGAGGGTTTCTTAGTTTCTCGCTAACCTCAGAATCCAATTTCTTGTACTCTAAGGAGTTATTCTGCTTTGGCATTACATAATAGTAAGATGGAGCGTATTTAGAAGAACTGCAACCTTTAAAACAAACAAACTGCTATAAGAATTTTTACTAAACATTACTGGTTTATATTGGCTCTTGGGATCATCTTAAGGTCGCCATTAAGTTAGAATCAACTTGAAAACACACAAGAAAGATAATATGATGAAAATATTCTTATTTGTGCATCATACTATATCTGCAAAAGGGATTATTATCATAGTTGCTATGTTTAACATATTAAATTACAAGAAATGGCACATACCTCTCCTTTTACGAGATTCTTTAATTTCTTCACAAAGTTGTTCAAACTCTTCATCCATTTCTTCTTTAATTATCGCATAGGTTGTGTCTCTGAGAGAACATGCTCTGTGCCTGATAAGGCGATCTGAACATGACATGCAGAAGACAAACGTTATAGCAGTTAAAAAGCTGTTCAGGGAAACAATTAGACTATTTTTTATTAGACTGCCCTATTGCAGTGGTCATGTATTAAAAAGTGAGTATGTTTTGTACAAAACAATTTATTTTTTTACTTCTCTAACGTTTGTTTTAGAACTGTATGTAGGTGCTCACCTCCAGGGTCTCTATCTGGATTGTATTCCAAAGCATTGCTACAGATAAGATCAATATCTTTCAGGTATTCTTTGGCAGACATATATTGGTGAAGGTCTATTTTTGAAATAACAGTGGAAAGATCCATTGGTTGCTTGATAACTGCAACGTAGTCTGGTACCTAGAAATATAACAAAAGCAAGCTTAAAGCATCTTACTTAGATCAGTCGTAATGGAGCTTAATCATACCCTTCCCTTTTTCTTGTTACTGTAATTTTCTTCTTTTGGCGCTTTTCATTCCCATCTTACTGCTCTTAGTTTTGTTTTTGCTACCTACCTCACTATTGCTTGAGCTCAGTTAAGTTTTTCAAAGGTAATTTGTTTTGCTTTCATCAGTGACTTGCAGGTTGGCAGTCATCTGAATATTCTTTCCTTTCCTTTGTGCTTTGATCAGCTGGTCTGCCACCAAGGTAATTTTAACTTTTTCCATATTTGTACATTTTGCTTCTTTATCTTGTTTAAACTATCAGTTATCCTAATTCTACCTTTGTCTTATTTACTCATCTGAGTAAACGTGCTTGGTAGGTAGGGTTATAAAAACTAGTAGAAGAGGCAAAGGAGCTTAATGGTCAAACAGAAAGAAAACATGAGCTCCTGCCAGTACAGTTGGCAGGTGGGGGCTGAACTCAATTGACTGCCCCAACCATCCTGAGAAGATGAAAGCTGAAGCAATATAGAGAAGAGACCTGTAGTATTCTTGCAAACAGAAAGGCATCTCAAAATTTACCTATATCCACTTTAAAAGTTTAACTTTGACAAGGAATACATATTCCAAATTAGATCCACATGACAGATCCAATGTCAAGAGAAAGAAGTGGCAATGTTGATTTCCAGTTTTCAATCACATTTTACCTTCTAAAATTACTTCAATTTCAGTGAAATGAAGTACTCACTTTAGATTGGATTTCATTAATTTTCCTGGGTTGCTGCGTTTTCCTAGGCTGTATGGCCATGTCCAGAAGCATTCTCTCCTGACATTTGCTCACACCTATGGCAGGCATCTTCAGAGGTTGTGAGGTCTGTAGGACACTAGGCAAGCGAGGTTTGTATATCTGTGGAATAATGTCCAGGGTGGGGGAAAGAACTCTTGTCTGCTTGAGGCGAGTGTGAATGTTGCAAATGGTCACCTTGATTAGCATTTAGTGACTTTGCAGCTTCAAATTGTGACTGGTTGCTGCCTGGGGGAATCCTTTGTTGGGAGGTGTTAACTGGTCCTGATTGATTGTCTGGAATTCTCCTGCTTTTTGAGTCTTGCTCTTTATTTACTGTCCTGATCTTAAGAAGTTTTCAATACTGGTAGCCAGATTGTGTTCATTTTCATGGTTTCCTCCTTTCTGTTGCAATTGTCCACATGCTTGTGGATTTCAATGGATTCTCTGAGTAGTCTGACATGGTAGTTGTTAGAGTGACCCAGCATTTCTGTGTTCTCAAATATTATACTGTGTCCAGGTTGGTTCATCAGGTGCTCTGCTATGGATATTCCACAGATATATAAACCTCACTTGCCATAGGTTCTAACAGACCTCTCAACCTCTGAGGATGCCTGTCATAGATGTGGGCAAAAAGGCAGGATAGAATGCTTCTGGAACATGGCCATACAACCTGGAGAACTCACAGCAACCTAGGAATTTCTAACCATAAAGGCCTTCAGCAACACATTATTTTTCCTGTTGACTATATTCACATTAGGAAAAATGATATAGTTTTTATTGAAGGCAACTAAATCAGTCAATGCTTGCATCAGAAGACATGTTTTAAATGCAATGCAATATTATTATTTTTGTGAAATAAAATTTTAGCTGTTACCTCCTGCAAGTCAACTGGTTTCGTAAATGCTCTGAAACGTTTGTCAACTGCAAGCCTGTGAGTAATGCTTCTTAAGAAAATACGGAGTTCACGTAATGTATCTTCCTCTTGCTCCTCAAGTTGCTTGACCTCCTTTTCCGATAACTGCCTTGGCTCAGGGGCTGGTGCTACTGGAAGAACTTCTAAACTCTGCAAAACTTAAAACAAAGATTAGGAGTTTGCAGCTTCACTGCAATTAAAAAAAAACACACAAACAAAACAAAAGCTCTGTACAGACATTTGCTTGCACATCCTAACCTGCTTTCTTTTTTGATGTAGGTGGTTTAACAGCCTGGTGAAGAAGTAAATCCTTAAAGAATTTGCTTCTCTCTTCATCATTAGGTGGATAGACATCAAAAACTTCTCCATAATCTTTGGCAAATAAGTCTTGTACCTTTTGAAAAAAATGAAAAGTAACTGAGGAGTTACAGCCACAAAATGAAACATGTTAAGAAAAGCAGAAGAGTAGTCAGCACATGCTAAATAAGATCAAAGTTTCAGGATTGCGTTAGTACAATGGCTCTGACAAAGGGGAAACAGCTTCAACACAGAAGTTGGAGCGACATGAATCATACTAGTTTCAATTTGGAAATTTATGTCACGTTATGGATTGTGTAGCCTCAGAGCTTTAGATGACAATTGATCAATGTCATTCTTTTGAAAAACAGGGAATACAAATAGAAACATAGGGCAACAATGCAAAAATACAATGCAATAATTTCTACTCAATACTTTAGTAAGAAATAGAATGTATGTTTAGAAGGGCTATAACTGTTTTTTAAATACACTTCTTCATCACTGGTCTTGATTATCAAGATAAACAATTTAGCAATTTCGGATAAAGCATTATGGATTTAAAAAATACCATTAGAACGAATATCAAGTACCTCTGCTGGCAAAGCTGCATGATGTACATCTGATGTTGCAAGGAGCAAAACTGGTGCAAAAGATGGAATGTTCTGTAACAATGAAGTAAATGTTGCTTGCAAAATGTGTCCGATTGTCTCCCACCAAATATGAACATTTGGGATGTATATTATACTTGGTGCTGTTCTCTTGGCTTCACAGATCAACTAGAAAAAAAAAAGAAAATTTATCTACAATGACAGGAACAGACATCTTCCTTCATCTATCAATCATTAAGCTGTCCCTTTCCTTGATAATATGCATTTTATATTCTCTAGCAATTGTGAGAAGTAGGCAACAGCTCTGGCTTTCTGTTCAAATTCACCAAGGAACATGCTGTACATACAAATATAGATGTTTTTATCTGCACAAAACCACGGGACACCGGTCACTAGAGTCAGGTATCCAAAGGTTGCTTTCTACTAGTCTTGATATATTTTTCCTTTTTTGCACAAGGTCACTAAAACAACTAAGCAAATATGCATCCTTGATAAAATACAATATAGGCAACAACAAAGGAACAAAAGTTACTGAACTAAAGCTGTCAATCAATTATTTAATCAATTCCTCACTCAAAATAAGAAGACAAAATCACTAATGACAACACTTCAGCAGACACCAAACAATAACTACCAACAATATTTTTAAGAAGTACATGACTACAAGAAAGTATTGTCTCCATAACTTCTCATTTTAAACTTAAAGCTGAAATAAATTCAAATTATTTATTATCTAATATGTTACTGAGAACCAGTGCAGAATAATTTGAGCACTGGACTACCAGTGGAGACCAGAGTTTTGAATTCTCAGTCAGCCATGGAAGATTGTTGGATCACACTCTCTCAGCTTCAGAGGAAGACAAAGGCAAATGTCCTCTTAACAAATCTTGCCAAGAAAACCCGGTGATAGGGTTGCTGTAAATCGGAAATGACTTGAAGGCACGTCAACAACAACCTTTCACTATCTCCCGGTAGCTACTTCCACGGAAATCAAATGTGCTTTTGATCCAATGCAAACTGTTAATTAGTCTATAATAACAGGTAGGCAGTACAAATAAAAATTATACCAGATCATTTTTGAAGGACCATGATGCAAGATCCTTGCTAAACTAAGCAAGTATAAATCTCTGTGGATGGAAGGCCACAGCAATCTATGTTTTAGTGTACTATTGAAGTGAAATATAATTATAGTTTAACAAATTAAGATCAAAGCAAATTAAAATACCTGTGCACATGTTTCTTCAGGTGTTTTGGCACTCACTCCAAAGAGAATGGAAAGATCTAGTGTGTACACAGTGAACTTTTCCAAAGCATGTATAACTGCTGGAGCCAAATGAGAAGCTTGTCCAAATCCTGGTTTTCCTGCTATTAAGAGCCTTGGCCGGTAGGATGTTGGCTGGTCATAGGCACATCTACAAAAAAGAAATTAGCATCCCGGTTAAACATAATTCTAGTTTTAATCCCAGTTTTCTATCATGTCTGCTACAAGGTCAGTGCCAAATTTCAGCCTCCTTCTTCCCATGCTCAGAAGAATCTGAGTATAGTACCTCATACCAATAATAATAGAAATAAATAGGTATTATGTCATCTGAGATATACATTTTTAATTGTATCAAGCACTTGCATGACTTTTAAGATATTTTCCACTGCTATGAAAAATTGTGCGAAAAGAACAAATGGTAATTTAGGACAAGAGAATATTTGAACAAAATTACCAAAACATCCATGACTCTTGCCTTTTAAAAAATTCATCTGCCTGAAAAAAATTAATCTCTTTCTCCAACTTTTGCTTGTTCTGTTCCAATAAATTTACCCTCATACATACACCAAGAACCAACAGATGGAGGCACAGGAAGAGTTCTTGATACACGGGAAGGGCAAAAATCAGTAGGATACTTTGACACCAATGCACGGGTTTTCCATTTCAGACTTCTGTTCCACTACAGAGCTGTTAAGCTTTCGCATTTCTATACAGCACACACATTGGCCCAAAGAAAAAAGTGATCTATTTTGAAGTCTGATTGCAGGGGAGAATAGTAAAGGTAAAAGTTTCCTTTTGATATTAAGTCGCCGTGTCCGACTCTGGAGGGTGGTGGTGATCTCCATTTCTATGCTGAAGAGCTGGGGTTGTCTGTAGATACCTCCAAGGTCATGTGGCCAGCATGACTGCATGGAGTGCCATTACCTTCCCGCAGGAGCAGTACCTACTGATCTACTCACACTTGCATGTTTTCAAACTGCTAGGTTGGCAGAAGCTGGGGCTAACAGCAGTTCACCCCGTTCCCCGGATTCGAACTGCCAACCTTTTGGTCAGCATGTTCAGCAGCTCAGCGGTTTAACCCGCTACACCACTGGGAGCCAACAGGGGAGCATGAGATACAAATAACCACCAAGTACAGGCAGCCCCCAAGTTACAAACATCCAACTTACAAACAACTATAGTTAAGAATGGGGTTGAGACAACAGGAAATGAGATAAATCTATCCCCCAGAAGGGAAATTCACCCCTGAAAGAGTTATCATGGGGAAGATATCTCCACTGAAGCTTTATCACCAATCCTTGCTAACACAAGTCACATTTTTCAAAATCCAATTATCACAGGAACAGAAAGTGAGGTGAAATCTTCTGAACAGGGCCACAGACAGCAAAGCAAACACCACAGGGGTGTAAAGCCTTCTCTCTGCTATCCAAAATGTGTGTGTGTGTATACACACACACAGAGCGCCAGAGTTAATTTTAAAAAGTACCTGTTCTAACTTACATACAAATTCAACTTACGAACAAACCTACAGAACCTATCTTGTTCATAATTTGGGGACTGCCTGTATACTAAAACACTCCATGAATGAAAATGAAGGTGAATTATTTTATTTGTTACATCTTTAATATATCACTTACCTGTTAAAATTAAGGAAAGTGTGTTTATGTTTATCAGAACTTTTCTGCAAATGCCCTGTTTCAAATAATGATGGTCCTTCTTCATCACTGTACAGTAAATCAGTATCCAAGACATGACTAGGAAAATCTTTGAAGAATAAAATAAAACACTATTTTAATTTCAGTAATGACATACTTCTAAAACATGAAAGATGTAACATTTCTATTCTCCTCACCAGTTTGGAAACTGGTGACATGCAGTTTAGTCCATAATACAGTTAATTCTGAGGTGGACTAATTGACGTAATTTAAAAATCTCAAGAAACACATTTCTAAAGATGTCTTAGAATCGAAGAATCACAATACAGGCCAACCTTGAGTTAGTTGCAAACATCTGATTTCCAAATTACTCATAGTTACAAACAGGGTTGAAACCACAGGAAATGAGAGAAATCTTCCCCTTCAGAAGGAAAATTCATTCCTGAAAGTTATTATGGGGGAAAGGTGTCTCCACTGAAGCTTTATCGCCAATTCTTGTTTCCACAACAATCCAAATTTCTCAAATTCCAATTATTCCAGGAACAGAAAATGAGGTGAAATCTTCTGAACAGGGTCATAGACAGCAAAACAAACATCACTGGGGGTGTTAATCCTTCCATATGCATTTTCAAGTTCCCAGCTATGTTTCAAAATATTTATTTATTAGGTAAAAGGAACTGAATATTTCAGGGAAAGCAGCTTGAGTGAGAACAGCTAACACATCTTGCTTCTTCATTACAGTACATGCCTACACTATTCTTTTGCAGCTGTTTAATGACAGCCCGGGTTCCTAATCTTCAATCTGCTGCCTATATCTAGTTCCATTCTGTCTTGAGCATCAAAAAATATTATGTAGCACCTGTGAAAGAGGCAAAGATTTGGCACAGAAAGTCAAAGAAGACTGGATTGGGCCAAACACTTCTGAGTACCAGAAAAGCTCTACTATCCCATCTCCTCTTTCCAATTATCATAAAGTAATCTAAACAATTTGCGGGGAAATCAGTTGGAAGTCAACTAGCTAAAACTGGAAAGAGGTTGCGTGTTTTAAGTGCCTGGAGTCAGTCCAAAGAGATCAGCTGTCTGTTCCTGTATTTCAATGTTCTGTAATAGTCATCATGGGACCCACACAGTTGCCATTGTTTCTGAAATATATCTGAGCTTGTTCCTTCCCAGAAACAAGTAAACAGAAACATTGATATAGGTGTATTTGTTAGCATGCCAGCCTACAAATAATCAGAATGGCTATATCGAGTATCAACACACAGGTTCTGGGTCATTCACTGTAAAAATAATTTCCAGGTACAGACCTATAGCTAGCTGATCTCATTTCCTAGCAGCAAGGGGAAAAAAACCCCTCCAGCCAAGCAGATATATAATCTTCACAGAGTTGCTTATTTTGTGCGTCACATAACTGGTTAGGCTTGCATCTTATAGGATTAAAGCAACTCAATTTCTATAATACGTTGGTTTATCTACTTGAAGGATTAGGGAGGAAAAATATGTGAAATTCTAATAGGATAGAAAACAGCTGTGTTGTTTCAGTATTGCATATTACATATTTTAAAAAATTAACCCCACAGATACATCTATGCTGAACTTAAGACATCTTCCTTAAGTAGACAGAAATACATATGCAAATACCTGACTTGCCCCCTCCATTTTGTGCCAGTTCTGCATGTGGAAACACATTCTGTACACGCGCCAAGATTCTCTGAAGTATGTTTTCAAGCAATGGTTTTGAAATGTTAGAAAGTGCTTGGCCAGGTGAGGTCACCGCCCTCTGAGAAGCAGGTATCATCTTCTGCATAGCCACCACAAAATCCTTAGCAGTTATATTAATAGAAGATATATCCAGCTGCAACTTGGTGCTGCTGGTGTATATCTGAGGATAACGTCGACGCAAGGCACACAAAGCTGCTTCTGCACATATGGACTTTATGTCAGCACCACAATACCCTAAAAGAGAAAAGCAAAAGGCCTGGGTTATGTCCATACAACTGTAACATACCAAAAGTCAAAAAGGTTCCCTCTCATCTGAAACAGCATCTATCAAAGATGTGAATTTGAATATGCAGATTTTTTCATACGATTTCAGTCAGCATTGCATGGTATTCATCTCTTAACAATACTATCCATTTTTCACCTGTGAGAAAAGTAACTGATACAAACTTTTGGATAGTTCCTTCTTTCCCAAGTAATTCAGGCAGTTTTGTCCAAACCTTTAAAAACTTTGATACTCAAATCAGAGGGATATTCTAAGAAATATATATATTCTAGGAGACCTCAGAAATCCTAGACAGAGATATTGGGAATTAATTGTGTTGTTTACATTAAGATTAAGCAAAATATTGCACCTGGTATTGAGGAAAATCTATTAACTGTACCTCAGGTATTCAGGGAAAATATGGGAAACTTTGGAGGGCTGGAAAGTTATTTTCCACACAGCCCAATGGATATATATGCTCTCAGAAACAGCAATGGAGGGTGCCTCTGGAGCCTGGAAAAAGAAATCTCCAGGCTTATCATCCTTGATTTAGGGAGTTTCAAATAGTGTCCAGTGACAGAACAGTCAAAATTTGGAAGTATTGTCCATATTATAGTAATACGTATATTTAATATAAGAATCAACATGGCTTGAAGTGCTCTGTATCTCAGCTCATTTGAAATGCAAAATTATTTTCCATCTCTGTCCCTTAGTCACTGTGAAGGAACAGCCCCCCTTGGACTGCTTTCTGGTATGTGCAAATCATGCTTCTTTTCCCACAGCTTTTTTCTGCACTGATGCGAACTTTCCCCCAAGCCATTATTTCCTTCCTGTCCTTGGATAGTGCCAGCTTCCTACTGTGTTATAAGCAATTCAGACTATAATATTCAGCTGTTCTTAAAAAAAAAAACCAACAAAAAAACAGCAATAATTTGTTTCAATGAGAGTATAAAAAAACAAACTTACAAACCAACGGATCAAAAATACAGCACCAGAGATACATTTCCATTAATTGGACTTTTCCATTCTTACCAACACATTTTTCAGCTAACTCTTCAAGAAACATTTGTGATGGTTTAGGGGACCATTCCCGTGTGTGAATCTCAAGGATCTCTTTTCTTGCCTAGAAATAAATGTAATAAAGTTTAATAATCACAACAACATAAATCCACATAACATTAAATTGTATCTATACATCTTCATTTCAATGTATTCCAATGTGTTCAATGTATTCCAATGTGTTTCCAAAAGCATTTTCTCCTGACGTTTCTCCCACATCTATGGCAGGCATCCTCAGAGGTTGTGAGGTCTGTTGGAAATTAGGCAAGTGGGGTTTATATATCTGTGGAATGTCCAGGATGGGAGAAAAAACTCTTGTCTGCTGGAAGCCTATGTTGCAATAGGCCACCTTGATTAGCACTGAAAAGCTTTGCAGCTTCAAAGCCTGGCTGCTTCCTGCATGGGGGGAATCCTTTGTTAGGAGATGTTAGCTGGCCCTGATTATTCCGTCTGGGATTCTCCTGTTTTCTGAGTTTTGCTCTTTATTTACTGTCCTGATTTTAGAGTGTTTTTAAATACTGGTAGCCAAATTTTGTTCATTTTCATTGTTTCCTCCTTTCTGTTGAATCTATCTATCTATAGATATATAGCTATATGACTGGAGTTACACTTTAAAATGTACTTATTCTGACTTACAAACAAAATCTACTTAAGAACAAACCTACAGAACCTATTTAGTTCATAACTTGAGGACTGCCTGTAATTATTGTAATGTACTATATTCTTAAATTATTCAACCACAATCTTTCTTGGATATTTGTGGTCTAAATTCACCATTGCTTTTACACATGAAACTAATAAACGGTTTCCAAGTTTTATAAAGAAAGCTTCTTTCAATTCTCCTTTTGCTTATCTGAATTTATAGGTTAACATTTCCGACAGAGCTATTGCACACATCTTGTTTCACCACTTCCTTATTCTCAGATTCTCTCACTTTTTCCTTGTTTTCTCAAGTCATGTGGCTCATAACAGGAGCAGTATAAGATTTATCAGACCCTTATTCTCACTTTTGAATACAGAGATCATTAACAGAGCTCCCCTGAAGTGTATTATTTTCCCCATTATTCGGCTTATCCTGTTCATCCCAAAAACTCCATATTTCTCTTCTATTTTAACTTCCAAAGCTAATTTCCATACTAACCCCAACCCATTTAATGATCCGAATTTTACTTCCTGAATTGCCCGATATATTTTTTAGACTTGTCCTTTGATTTGATTTATCATTGCAAATTAATTCAAAAACCGTTAGCTCTCTTGGGGCAGCCTTCCTTTTGGATATTTTTCTGTGGTGTGCTTATTTGTACCAATTGTCACCAAGAAGGATTAATTTATTTTTCAATTGTTCCATTTGAATTGGATTTAGTGATAAGAATAAGTAGTTTATTGTATAAATTCCTTTCTCCTCCCAACTTTAAATTGACTGTCTATCTTCCTGTTAAAAAATTGGTGTTCTAAAAATGGGAAAAGGGGTAATGGAGATGGAGCAAGTAATTTCTTATATTTGAACCATATTTTAATTAAGCCCTCAGTAAAAGGGTTATCTAGCTTTACATTTTTTAGCAACTTTATCTAAAAATATACTTGCCAACTTTTAACCCTTACTTTTTTCAATTTTCACCCAAGCAATATTTGTTATTCTTGACAAATTTCCCTAGTTGAAATGCATTGTAATATAGTTTAAAATTTGGTATTGCTATGATTTCTCTTGAAAAATGAGCATAATCAGAGCTTTACAACAGCAAAACAACAGAGGGGAAACAAACAGGCACATAAAATCACTCTCAACAAGAGATTCCCCCCAGGCGCTTCCAGGCCATTGAATGCAAATCAAGGTGATCAGCTGAAACATTCACAGCTAGCCCCAGCAGACAGGGTCCTTTGTCTCACCCTGGTCATTCCACAGATATATAAACCCATTTTTCCTACTTCCAACAGACCTCACTACCTCTGAGGATGCTTGCCATAGATGCAGGCGAAACGTCAGGAGAAAAATTGCCTCCAGAACATGGCCATATAGCCCGGAAAAACCTACAACAACCCATAATCAGAGCTGTTAATAAAAGATTTTCCTCCTGCAATAAAAAATGTAATATACTTTTACCATGTCTTAAATTTTTCTATGTCCATTTTAAAAGGAATTACACACAATAAAAAAATAAAACACTTCATTTTCTCAGGCACTTAATGCTCTAGGAATAAAATAACAATAATGATAAAACATTATTTCTAGACCACCCTCTCTCCCGGAAGGGACTCGGGGCGGTTTACACACAAAAAAGGCAAACATTAAATGCATCAAATAAGTGCAAACACATAAAAATAATACAGAATAATGCACAGTAAAACAGTGACATAATAAACTGAAACTTGAGTACACATTAAAACATATACCCTGAAAGCAATTAAGATACAATTACATTAAAAATGGCTAGCACCGATGTTCATTTAAGAGGATCATACCAGCCATATAATACAAGTGGGTTTAGCCAGCGTTCCAGTGGGTTAAAGTGTCCAAGTCCCCCTCCTCATTGTAACAACACCTCAATGACAATTACTTACATCTTTATCTGGCAAAGTGAAAAGGAATTCTCTGTCAAATCGTCCAGGCCTTCTCAAAGCAGGATCTATTGAATCCAATCTATTGGTAGCTCCAATTACCACAATCTCTCCTCTGCTGTCTAAGCCATCCATCAATGCAAGCAATGTAGATACAATGGAACTTGGGGGGAAAACAGTGAATTTTAAAAGTATTTTATTATTTGAATCCCGCTCTGTAACTCATGCATAAGCTAGGACACAAATAGAAGAGGCCATTACTCATATTTTTATGAATAAGCCAAGTGCCCCAAAATTGATTCTAGAACACTGAGGCTCATTTCTTCATGGGCCAGTAAGGAGGAGATCAACAAATAAAATGTATGAAGTACACAACAGAAAGCACTTCAGTTCATGTAACAGAATTTCCAAGCAAAGTCTATACAGTAACTGAACAACCAAAATATTTTAAGTAGTAAACACAAAAACTGCTGTGGAAATTGATTATTTGTAGTTCAGGACTCGTCCCTAATCAATAGAATATTAGAATTTCATACAAAAAAATGCTCCCCCCCCCAGGATAACAGTTTTGGAAAGTTTAAAATATTTACTGTCGTAGTGAAATCCAGTGCCATACCACAAAGGTAAAGGCACCCCAGTTTTAAACTGGATAGCACCTGCAAATCTGTACTTGGTCACAAATTAATAGCCTGAGCTAAACTTAATTGGGTCACATAATATAAATGCTGCATTTATAAAGACTGCCAGGCACTCCTGCCTCTGTCTGCATCTTCTAGGGCATCTTGGGTTTGGAGCTTTATATATTCAAATATTTTTTATATTACTCGTCAGAAATTATGATTAATCAAATGACCAAAAATATAGCTTTTAAATATGAAGTCCATACCTGTGAATCTGATCTTGTCTACTGGACCGTACAGGGGCAAGACCATCAATCTCATCAAAGAATATAATTGAAGGACGCATCTGATAGGCCTACAAGGAAAGGTCAAGTAAGTACTGGATAAAAGCACACAGAACATAACCCAGGACTAAAGAAAGCAAGACTACCTGATCAAATAAGAGGCGGAGTTGTCTCTCTGATTCTCCTACCCATTTACTAAGGCAGTCAGCACCTTTTCTCATAAAAAAGGCTATTCTTCTGTCACCCTGACTGCACTCATTAGCAAGTGCTCTGGCAACAAGGGTTTTTCCAGTACCCGGTGGCCCATAGAAGAGGCACCCCCTGAAAGAATTGAGAATTAAAAATTGTGTTTAACACAATTGCTTCAGCCTCTAAAATACAGCATATTGCACCTAAGCGTTTCATCATTATCATTGTCACTACCCTCATCATCATGAATACAATCTCCACTGCTCTCCATCTTGTTCAATTAATTACCAGGAATTATAAGACAGTAACATAACAATCCTATTTGACCAGAACAAAGATCAATCTAGTCTTGTTTCCCAGAAATTTCAACCTCGCTTTTCGACCTTTGGATTTCCGGATAAAGGAGATTCGAGCTCTACTTAAGTACACAAATAGCCATTTTGCAGCGACTTCCTGCTTTCATTCACTGCACAATTCAAAGAGAAGGCGCATTTATACACAAATTTTTAACAACATATTACAGTAATCTTGTACAAAAGGCCTCAAAAGAATACTGAAAAGATTCACATTTCAGATTTACATATGGTTTACTGTCACTCTAGAAACAAGTACACAAATGGTCCTTTTGCAGTGACTTCCTGCTGCTTTCATTCACTGCACAATTCAAAGAGAAGGCGCATTTATACACAGATGTTTAACTATATGGCAGTAATCTTGTACAAAAGGCCTCGAAAGAATACTGAAAAGATTCACATTTCAGATTTACATAGGGTTTACTGTCACTCTAGAAACAAAACATTTATTTCAATACTACCTTGGAGGTTGAATTTTGAATCTTTCGAAGACTTCTGGATAAAGCAGTGGAAAAACCACCATCTCCTTTAAAGCTGAAATATGGCTAGAGAGTCCACCCACACAATCAAATCGTACCTAGAATAGGAAAACAGAGTTAGCAATTTTTTAAAAAATCAAGAAAAATGTTTGTAGCAGAATCAAAATTGTTTGTAGCAGAATCCAAGAATCAAACAGGTTTACAGGTTCCACAAAAATTATCAAAACTTTTTGAGAAGAAAGTTTTGTTTAATTTAAGGAGTGATAAAATTGATATTCAATACCTTCTGATATTAAATAATAATAATAATAATAATATATTTGTATTCCGCTCTATCTCCCCAAAGGGATTCAGGGAAGATTCCAAACATAAAAGGCAAACATTCAATGCCTGAACCAAACAATATATCCATACTAACAAAATTTATACAACCCAACATATAAACACGAATTATAACTTAACAAACTAAAATTAAATAATAAGCACAGCCTGTCATAACAGACATAAGACAAAACACTTACAGAAGAATCTATTTGCATTGGATCAACATCAGCCAGGCTTGCTCCAATTTTCATTCGATCCTTATGAATTCCTTTAAGCTCATCTTTTCTAAAGTTTAGTGGAAGGCATCTAATCCAAAAATTAAGAATTGTTGAACATGACATATGATTGATAATTGAGCATTTATTTATTCACTGCATTTAAATACCGCCCTTCTCACCCTGAATGGGACGCAGGGAGGCTCACAACAAAGACACAATTCGATACCACGAACACATGTATAGAATAAAACAACAAACACTTTAAAATCACTTAATTAAAACATATGAAACTTAATACTATTACTTAAAATCACACAATCCAATCCGTTCTAATTTAGCAAAAAAATATGCACAGTAACAGGCACTGAAACATCAGGTTAGAAAAGTATCTCATTTTAACTTAAAATACTACAGAACTTTGTTGCCACATAATACCGTATTTACTGGAATATACTGCTCAGCTTTTTTTATTAAATTACCTTGTCAAAATTAGGGTGCAGTTTAGATTTGCATAATATGGTAAATACTTTTTTGGGTTTTGAAAATTGAGGTGCGCATTAGATTCGATGGCACATGAGACTCAAGTAAAGTTATACTGTCTTTGTATAAAAAATACATGCCATGATATGTCACTTCAGAACAATGATAGAATACCTGCTTAATGCTTTGCTCCGACTTCGTTTCTTACGTCTCTCAAAACGCTGCTCATCATCAGAGGACGATGATGATGATGTGGAATCACTATTATGTATTGCATGCTTTCGCCTGTTTTAAAGAATAACATTATAAATATGCATCTGTACTAAGAAATAAAACCCAATTAATGTTCATCAAGTATAACTCATTCCACATGTTATCAAAGAGGGCACATGCTACAGGTGGGTAAATGTATCAAAGAAGAGAAGTACTACACCACTTGAGAAAGTTTTGGAAACCCCAATGACCATGCAAAATATCTGATTGTGAAGGTTATAATCCAAAACAAGGGCTGATGTAGGTGATTTTCCTGGTTGAGTAACTCAGAAGCAGAGATTATACCAGGGGCATAAGCATTGAAAGAGCACAAACCTGTTAATTTTTTTACAGTAAGGGCTCCTTGGTCCCGTAGGGCTAAAGGAAAATCTTCGCCTCGCTGGAGATGCTGCTTCAGGATAAAATAATTTGGGTTTCCTTTGAAGCCTAGGCTCTGTTAACAAAAGAAACAGAATTGATCCTCCTCGTTTATATCTCAATAAATGAGAATGCATAGGGTAACATTATAATATAATAATAAAAAAATATTTATATACAGTTCTATCTCCCCGAGGGGACTCAGGGCAGTTCCCAGGTAACATCACAAAACATACAAAGTAAAACAACATAACCATAAGATTAACAAAACAATATAAGCATAAAAATTATTGGTGGCCCAATAATTTGTTATTGTATATGTATATGTTTTTAAATTGGAGACTGTTTTAATTGTTGTAAACCGCAGTTGAGTCGCCGACCCAGGCTGAGAAATTAGCGGTATACAAGTGTACCAAATAAATAAATAAATAAAAATTGTCGTCATAACACACATATATTAAAAGTAATAACATTCGCTATGTTTACTGTGAAATAACATTTCAGAATGTCAGTCGGATCCACTAAGTTCTAAATTTAATTATGTTAATTTGGTTATTTGCATAATCTCTTGACAAAGTGTAAGTGGGAAAATAAACAGAAGTAATTTATGATAGGATTTACATGTCCCAAGTATAATATTCACAGTGAGAAAGGGCATCTGAGGAGGCGGGGAGTGAACCTACTTTCTGGTGAGGGTTGATAGTGCACAACAGTTTTTCGTTGTCTAAGATCATAGCGTTTTTGATTATCTACTGCATCTTCATCTTCTTGGTCTTCACCCTCTTCTGAAGATTCTAATGATCACAGAACAATTGCTTTAGTTTTAAAAAAACAATCTCTTACCACATTTACTAAGGCTGCAAACTTTAATGCTAAGACAAGATATTGTCACTCTTGGGACTAGAAACAACATTCATTGGAGTAAATACTTGCAATACATTTTTCTCATTATTTTATGACAATGTCCCTTGGAGCAATGATAGATGGCAAACATGCTGCATTCAGCTCCTTTTTTTTTACAGCCACCCAAATCTTCCATGGAAAATACATTTAAAATCACTCCACAGAAAAGTGGTGGAATGATCTATTGCTAAATTTCAACAACCTCCTGTCAAAGGAGAAAAGAGACAGAGAAGAGGAAGAAGGCAGGGAGGATGAGCTACTATATGAAAAATTGCCTTATCGTAGGTGGCGTAGGCATTCAGAAACGGAGGGATGCAATGGAGGTCACGTGGTATGCACTTAAAATGAACTGGAGGCATTGTGATGTTAAGATGACAAAGGGAGGTATGAGCCAGGGTCACTGGCAGGAAGGGAGCCTGCAACATGCATGTTTTTTTTTTTGGGGGGGGGGGGTGTTGTGTATTAAGATATCCCCAGGTTTTGCAACCCTAACCCCTGTAAAAGCTGAGGGTCAATTGCAATAGGAAATAGTTCCAAAAAAACACCCCATTACAACAACCTGCACTTCCATCCTGGTTATCAGTGGTTTCTTCATCAGTCCTTTGGACTGCTCTTTTTGGTTTTCCTCTTGAGTATACATTAAGACTTTCCTAGAAATGAAAGGAGATGTCATTCAACTGACCACATATCACACATCAAAGGCAGACCATCAACACGAATTCATGACAAATGAAGCTTCAAGGCTAGTCCCAATACCAAAAGCAAATACTGTAGTAAAGATTTAAGTTTCCAATAACTATATAATTCAAAGCAGGCTTTCAGCAAAATGAATTTTTCAAGCAAGAATATTTGCTTACCTCTTCTCTATCATTGAATACCCCAAGGTCTTCCAAGTCCATTATTCGTCGTCGGCGCATCTTCTTCATGTCATCCATTTTTTGAAGCACAGCTTCAGCAGTGCTTTAGTGCATAAGACAATATTAAATAGAATACAATTAAATAGAATAGGAAAAACACCAAACAAAAATTAATTAAACCCAGCCTGATTCAGTGCTAAGTTTGTGAAAACGCAATAGGGTATGAAATGCATCACATTAACATAGCCTTTTACAGAAATATTGTCTCATGGTGAAATATTTTGATCAGAGGTCTTTATACAGATCCTCATGTATATGTAGTTTATCATTAATGGTAAGTACACATCTATTTTGCCTTGTGTACATGGAAAAGGAACCATGAATATGAATATGTGCCTGGAACAATCTATTAGGGTGAAAATTAGATGTGGAAAAATCGAGAACTGTATTCAGTTCAGGTAGATATGGAATATGCCCAAATGAAGGAGGGATTTCTACCAATCCTGGTTACCACAGTAAATAATCTGGAAGGAGACAATCACAACAAAACTGTATTTATATCCCGCGCCATCTCCCTGTAGGGACCCAGGGCGACAGATAGTGTCTCCACCAAAACTAATACATTTCTTCCCAAGCTCAGCTTATCAAGATGGGGAGAAGAAGGGTGAATTCTGTAAGCTGCAGCACTAACCACAATGAATGGTTTGACCAATGTTCTTCAAATCCAGTATTTAGGAAATGCTGAAGCAATATACTAAGCCAATCATCCAGTTATTTCTGTTGGTTTTCTTCCAAAAACAGGAAGAATTTTTCAGAATGTGGGACCCAGAAGAATGGAGCATGACTTTGGTGCAAATTGTGCAAAAACAAAATGTCTCTAGCACCTATTCTTCCAAACTTCTACAAATTTCCTGCCTAGGGCCCAGCCCATTTTAATAGATATTGTCAAAAACAATGAAGGGAAAAAGGTGAACAAAATCATATTTCAAATCAGTTCATTCTTCCAAATCCTACACCATTTCATGTGAAACACTGCATTTTCTTTAATTTGCACCACCACTATTTTATAGGTCATTTTTATAACGACTCTATGTGCTTTTGGTGAGACTGCCCTTGAGGATGACCCAGAAGCTACAATCAGGGCTATACAGAGCAGCTAAGTGTTAACAAAGGTATCACATAGACACCATATTATACTGGTCTCAAAAGAACTGTATTTGTTCCCAATATGCTTGTTTTTTAAATTGGAAAAAAACTTACTTTGTAATAAGCTTGTCAAACAAAACTGATTGGTTCATAGTACTATAGCGGCTTTGTCTAATTCTACAACTACGACGGACTTCAACATCTCCATTTTCTTCAGCAGCATGCTTGCGGGGCTTTACAGTTCTCAGAGACCTGGTGACAGGAACTCCGCTTCCTAGAGTTGACAAAAAAAATCATATCATTATGATTTTTAAGATCCCTTCCCCCATACCAGAATAATGAACATAGCGACCTACTAGATCCTCTATATCTATTTTATTTTGGCAACTCAGAACATTTGTGATTTACTCCTTACCTTCTTCACACTCTTCATTCTTTGCATCAGCTTGCAGTCTAGCCAACCGTCTGCAAAGAAGCAAATACATTTAAATATCTAACATGATTTATAATCTCATATGTTTTAAAACACCTTCATTAGCTCTCTGTGTTCAATTCAAAGTGCTAGTGGCTGTTTTTAAAACCTAATTTTGTTTAGTGTAGTATTTTATTGGAGCAACGTAACTCATATCCAATTATCCATCTACTTGTGCACTACAATGTATGTCTGAATGTCTCTTAATGCCCCTGTACTTGGTAGCAAAGCAAGTAAAGGCCAAGATTCTAGACTTTTTATAGCAGCTTTCTGCCTGTGAATTCTCTCACAAATGGAAACTTCCTGGAGCCTACACTGTTATTACTGCAAACCAGATAAAAACCTTTCTGTTTTCTTGATGTATAATACTGACTTTTTGGTACTTTTAAGCTGTCATTTTTGGGAACTGCTTTACTCTGTGATGTGCCATTGTACTTTTTAAAATATTTATTTTAAAATATTTTTTATTCCTTTATGAATAAATATGATGAGGTGCAATTCATATTACTGACAGTACATTCGCTAAACTGACTTTTCCTACAGGTGTGCCATGTCAAATATCCATTGTTTGAGAGTCAGGAGGGAAGAGGTTGCAAATCTAAGACAATTTTGTCAGTTCTTTTAATATTTTTGAATGCAGTTCATGTGGCCCTGGAGATCTGAATTTATTTGTTGTATCCAGGTTATACTATCACGTTCTCTATTGCGTGCTATCTTCCCTACAACATCATCTAATGAACAGTTTTCCTTTTTGGAAAAGGACCAAATGAAAGTGTTGAGCAGTTCTACCTTTTCTCTGCTCCCCATTAGCTTTTTGCCATATTCTTCACTCAGTGACTCTACAATTCCCTGTTTCTTCCTTTTGCCAAGGACGTAACTTTTTACTGTCTTTGACCTCTCCAGCAAGCCTGTGCTGTACATTTCTGGCTTTCTCAATATAGCAAAATACAACACAAATGTGGAAAGAAATAACTCATAGCTGGAAAATATGTCCGATCACAGCAGAATACTAAGTGATGTTTTAACAAATGAATTGTAGAAAGGGGGGCAATTACCTTGTAAAATGTTTCCTATTGATACCATTCTCACTTAGCATTGTTACATCTTTTTCAAAACCGGAATCTGAATACTGTTGACTACTCTTTCTCATAGATCTTGAGTGTCTTGTAAAATGTTCACATTCTTTGTCAGAGGAAAACTCCTGGAAAAGGATAAATAAAACTATTAAAAACACGTATTTGACAGTTTAGAAGCTATGATACTGAACTTCTGTTTATGATCTTTTCCAGTATTATGGGTGAAAGGAATGAGAAAAAGAGGAGGCAAAGAAGCAAGCGAAAGCAAGCTTTTGTTTTTGGAATGAGGAGAAATCCAAGTATTTTTGATGGGGGCCTGTGATTATCTGCAAAATCTTTGAAAGCTCTAGGCAAGAGGCCACGGTCAGGGTACAACATGGAGGAAACAGAATGGTGTCCATTTTGTTAGATTGCAAGGTCAAAAGGGGATGCATTTTATTGCCCCATCAATTTAGTTAATACAGAGAACACCATAAAGAAAATTAGATTACACTCAAAGGAATGAGCTGTGAAACAGAGTCGAAAAATATTAAAATTTTATATATGCTATGACAACCATACTAGCAGAAAACAGCAAAAACTTGGAACAACTGATGAAAGTTGGAAGTTAACAACTGCAAGGCAGTTAGTTGAATATTAAGAAAACAAAAATAATGCACAGATGACTGAACACACGTAAAAACAAATGAAGACGTCATCTAGTCCTGTATTTTTGCTCAGTTATAAATTAAAATAGGGACAGTAGTGAAACAATCAGAATGAGGCTAAATCCTTGAAGTAACAAGACAGGATTCTTAATATATATAAAGACATTTATTAAATATTAAATCAGACTCACCCATGCCATAGCATTTCTGATTTGTAGGTAGGGTTGTAAAAGCTGGCAGCAAAAGAGATCAACTCATTTGAAATGTGATGCTAAAGAATAACTCTAAGGATACCATGTCTTGTTGAAATAAATGATCTGAACTAAAAGACAGGATGGTTAAAACAAAGCTCTCATCTTTTGGATGTACCTGAGGGTATGCCTCATTACAAAACATGTAAAGGCAATAGGAAAAGAGGAAGACTTGCGGTACTGGTGGATTGATTCAATCAAGGCCATGACGTTGAGTTTGCAAGTCCTGAATAGTGCAGACAATTAATGCATCCCTTGGAGGCCTCTTTTTCATAGGATCACTAAACTGAAGTTGATACATAGCAATTTGGATGAGTGGGTTTGTGGGAGAGATGGTAGGCGCAGGTGAGACAAATCTCATGAGCACTGGAGATTGTACATAAGCATCTCTCTTTGAAGACTGCTCACACAGGAAGCTACCAACATTTTGTAACCTGATTCTAACAAATTTCTTTGGGTATGTGACTTTCTATATGGAAAAAAGAAAATAAAACCAATTTCTCCACTCCAACTTTATAAATTTGGATTTGCAGAAAAGAGTTGAACTAAGAGCCCCTCTGCTGCAAAAGTGCTTCTAAACATAAACACCACACAAAAAAGGAAGGCAACACAGCTAAATCTAGATACATGAGGTAGAATACTGTGGTGTGAAGCGGTCTTCCCAGCTAACAGGGTTAGGAGAGGTGTGTTTGTTACAAGATTTGGTAACAACTTGCTTTTTAAACAAACTAGTTAAGCAGCCAGGGGGCATTCAAAACAGGTTTGTATTGTGTCTTATTGTTTATAATTGTAATATTTATTTATACCCTGCTTTAACTCTCCTTAAGGAGACTCACGATGTCTTTCTGCTGAGATTAAATGACAGTCTCTCAGGAGGGTTCAAATTGTGTCTTTCTCCAGAAGCTGGTCATGTAAGAAGGGTTTGGATTGTGTCTTTCTACAAAAGCTGGAAGATCCAGGCATGGACAAACTTGGGCGCTCCAGGTATTTGGACTTGAACTCCCACAATTCCTATCAGCTGGTATTGTGGGAGTTGAAGTCCAAAACACCTGGAGGGCCCAAGTCTGCCTATGCCTGGTCTAGATCCCTGTTCTTAACTATGAGTCATTTGTAAGTCAGATGTTTGTAACCTGTAATCATTTTGTGTAACTTTTATCCAGTGTGCTGGATGTGTGATTCCTCATATGTAGAGAAATGTTTTTATAAATATTTGCCATCAAGCCAACTTCAATTTATGGCAACCCTAGGAGTAAAAGACCTCTGAGAGACCCTTTTGTCAATTGTCCTATTCAGGTCTTGCACAATCTTGAGCATCGTTTCCTTGATTTAATCAACCCATGATAGTGTGGTCTTCCTCTTTTCCTAACGCTTTCCCTTTTACTGAGCATTATCTTCTTTTCCACTGAATCCTGTCATGATGCTTCCAAGCTATGACAGCCTCAGGCTAGTCCTTTTGGTTTCTGTTGAGAACTAAGTCTTCATATGCTCTAAGCCAGTGGCTCTCAGCCTGTGGGTGTCCAGATGTTTTGACCTTCAACTGGCTGGAATTTCTGGGCCAAAACCCCTGGGGACCCACAGGTTGAGAACCACTGCTCTAAGCTCATTTCATTTGTTTCCTCTGTAGAACTCTCTTCAAGCACGTTTTAAGATGTGCAATGGATCAAAACTTCTGTCAGCAGGGTTTGAATTGTGTCTTTCTGCAGAGACTGGAGGGCCATCTGCCAGGGGTGGGTTTGAATTGTGTCTTATTAAATTTATTATTATAATATTTATATTACATATTATTTATACCCTACTTTATCTTTCCCAAAGCATCTTTCTGCTGGGATCAAATGATCTTCTGCCAGGAAGGTTTGGATTGTGTCTTATATTTATTATTATAATATTCATATTACATATTATTTATACCCCACTTTATCTTTCCCAAAGCATCTTTCTGCTGGGATCAAATCACCTTCTGTCAGAAGGGTTTGGATTGTGTTTTTCTGCAGAGGCTGGAGGGCCATCTGCCAGGAAGGCTTGTCTTTTGTCTTATTATATTTATTATTATGTTTATTACTTATTATTCATTCCCCACTATCTTTCCCAAAGCATCTTTCTGCTGGGATCAAATGACCTTCTGTCAGGAGGGTTTAGATTGTGTCTTTCTGCAGAGACCAGATGTCCATTTGCCAGGAGGGTTCGGCCTGTCTCTTTCTCCTGAGACCAGATAACTATCTTGTCAGGAGGGTTTGTATTGTGTCTTCCTGCAGAGGTTGGAGGGCCATCTGCCAGGAGGGTTTGTATTGTGTCTTTCTGCAGAGGCTGAAGGGCCATCTGCCAGGAGAGTTTGTATTGTGTCTTATTATAATATTTATTATTATATTTATCACATATTATTCATAACCCACTTTATCTTTCCCAAAGCATCTTTCTGCTGGGATCAAATGACGTTCTGCCAGGAGGGCCATCTGCCAGGAGGGCTTGTATTGTGCCTTATTATTATATTTACTACATATTATTCATTCCCCACTATCTTTCCCAAAGCATCTTTCTGCTGGGATCAAATGACTTTCTGTCAGGAGGGTTTGGATTGTGCCTTTCTGCAGAGACTGGAGGGCCATCTGCCAGGAGGGCTTGTATTGTGTCTTATTATTATATTTACTACATATTATTCATACCCCACTATCTTTCTCAAAGCATCTTTCTGCTGGGATGAAATGACCTTCTGTCAGGAGGGTTTGTATTGTGTCTTTCTGCAGAGACTGAGGGCCATCTGCTGGGGGGTGAGGTTGAATTGTGTCTTATTAAATTTATTATTATAATATTTATATTACATATCATTTATACCCCACTTTATCTTTCCCAATGCATCTTTCTGCTGGGATCAAATGACTTTCTGTCAGGAGGGTTTGGATTGTGACTTTCTGCAGAGTCCAGATGTCCATTTGCCAGGAGAGTTCGGACTGTCTCTTTCTCCTGAGACCAGATGACTATCTTGTCAGGAGGGTTTGGATTGTGTCTTCCTGCAGAGGCAGGAGGGCCACCTACCAGGACGGTTTGTATTGAGTCTTGTTATTATATTTATTATTAGTAGTATATTTGTTACATATTATTTATACCCCACTTTATCTTTCCCAAAGCATCTTTCTGCTGGGATGAAATAACCTTCTGTCAGGAGGGTTTGTATTGTGTCTTATATATATTATTATTATTATATTTACTACACATTATTCATACCCCACTATATTTCCCAAAGCATCTTTTTGCTGGGATCAAATGACCTTCTGTCAGAGGAGGGTTTGGATTGTGTCTTTCTACAGAGACCTGGTGGCCATCTGTTAGGAAGGTTGGATCCTGCCTTTCTGCAGAGACCTGATGACCATCTGTCAGGAGTGTTCACATTGTGCCTTATTATTATATTTACTACATATTATTCATACCCCACTATCTTTCCCAAAGCATCTTTCTGCTGGGATCAAATGACCTTCTGTCAGGAGGGTTTGGATTGTGACTTTCTGCAGAAGCTGGAGGGCATTCTGCCAGGAGGGTTCGCACTGTGTCTTTCTGCAGAGGCTGGAGGGCCATCTGCCAGGAGGGCTTGTATTGTGCCTTATTATTATATTTATTACATATTATTCATACCCCACTTTATCTTTCCCAAAGCATCTTTCTGCTGGGATCAAATGACCTTCTGTTAGGAGGGTTTGGATTGTGCCTTTCTGCAGAGACCTGATGGCCATCTGTCAGGAGGGTTCGCCTTGTGTCTTTCTGCAGAGGCTGGAGGCTCCAGGCCTGGGCCCAACTCCCTTGAGCGCCCTCTTTCCTTTCCCCCCCCCCCCTCATCCCGGCCTAGTGGAGCCAACTGTTGCCGGGGTCAGTTCCGGAGGCCTCTCCCCGCTCCCTGGCACACTCACCGCCGTGCTGTCCCGGGTGCGAGCGGGGCCTCCTCCTTTCCCGGAGGCAGGCCCTCCTTGCTCCTTGTTCCGCGGCCGGGGCGCCGCCATCTCCAGGGAGAGGAACTCCGCGCTGGACTCCATCTCCTCGAAGAGGGCCCTTCCGCGCTTCCCGCCGCTCGGGGTCGTGGCCACGCCGCCTCCATCGTGAGGCTCCGGCCGGCTTGAGCCCCCCGAACCGCTCCGGAGCATCACCATGGCTTTCCCGGAGCGGCAACCGAACTCCGCCGAACTCCCCGCCGACTCCTTCCTTCTGTCAGCCAGCTCCGAATTCTGGCGCCACAGAGCGGGATGTGTCGCGTCACCAACCGCCTTCTCTGTGGATCCCTCCGCACCTCGTCTCGTTCTCCCTCATGCGATTCTTTATATACCCAGGGGGGCGGCCTTCAACCGTCCCCTTTAAGAGCCAGGCACAAGACCACTTCCCTTTTTTAAAGTCAATGTGCCCAAAAGTAGAAACGTTGCGGGACTATTTTGCCCTCCGGGAAGTAGTCCCACCCTGGCGGAAGGACACCATGTTTAAAAGTTCGATCCGACTTTTTTGGCGCCTTTACCGCCTTGTTTTGCTGCGCTGTGATTGGTGAGTTAGACCGCGCGCCGTTTCCCTGCCTCTGGCCAGGAGGCGTTCAAATACGAAGCTCTTAAAGCGACAGGCGCGCTTTTCCCCCTCTCCTCCAATACAAAACAAGGGGAAGCTCTTAAAGCGACAGGCTCTCTTTCCCCCCCCCCCCTCTCCTCCAATCCAAAACAAGGGGAAGCTCTTAAAGCGACAGGCTCTCTTTCCCCCCCCTCTCCTCCAATACAAAACAAGGGGAAGCTCTTAAAGCGACAGGGGCTCTTTTCCCCCCTCCCCGCCAATACAAAACAAGGGGAAGCTCTTAAAGCGACAGGCGCTCTTCTCCCCCCCTCTCCTCCAATACAAAACAAGGGGAAGCTCTTAAAGCGACAGGCGCTCTTCTCCCCCCTCTCCTCCAATACAAAACAAGGGGAAGCTCTTAAAGCGACAGGCGCTCTTCTCCCCCCTCTCCTCCAATACAAAACAAGGGGAAGCTCTTAAAGCGACAGGCGCTCTTCTCCCCCCTCTCCTCCAATACAAAACAAGGGGAAGCTCTTAAAGCGAAAGGCGCACAAATTTTGCAATTCAAAACAAGATGGAAGAGCAGGGCTGCAAAAAGAGAATCAAACCAATGAATGGGTTGAAGTTATATCAGAAGTCATCAAAACGGGCCAAAGACTACCATTTCTAGAGGAAAGCTGTTTAATGAAAGCCAAAACCAAGGTTACAACAACATCTGTTATAGAACTCCAGTATGCTGATGACAATGTGGTCTGTGCACATTCAGAGGAAGATCTACAAGTTACTCTAAACACCTTTGCATAAGCATACATCTGGCCTAACTAACTCCAGTATGCTGATGACAATGTCGCCTGCGCTCATTCAGAAGAAGTTCTACAAGCCACTTTAAATACCTTCGCATAAGCATACATCTGGCCTAACTCCAGTATGCTGATGACAATGTCGCCTGTGCGCATTCAGAAGAAGTTCTACAAGCCACTCTAAATACCTTCACATAAGCATACATCTGGCCTAACTCCAGTATGCTGATGACAATGTCGCCTGTGCGCATTCAGAAGAAGTTCTACAAGCCACTCTAAATACCTTCGCAGAAGCATACATCTGGCCTAACTAACTCCAGTATGCTGATGACAATGTCGCCTGTGCACATTCAGAAGAAGTTCTACAAGCCACTCTAAATACCTTTGCAGAAACATACATCTGGCCTAACTAACCTAAAAGCAACAGATTTTGGAAACACAGAAATACAGGACTACTCTACTTACTTAGGCGATCCCTCGTTTTCCGAGGAGGATTGTCTTCCAATATTCTTGTGGGTCCATATATGGCTGTGGAGCCCTATTCTTGCTCTGCATCTTCTTCCGCAGTGGCTTCCAGGTGGAAGGTGGTCTTGGTCAGGACTGGCTTGACGCGCCTTCCTCTTAGCACGCTTCTTCCTTTCGCCCTCCATTCGTGCCTCTTCAAATTCTGCAGCACTGCTGGTCACAGCTGACCTCCAGCTGGAGCGGTCAAGGCCCAAGGGCTTCCCAGTTCTCAGTGTCTATGCCAGAGTTTTTAAGGTTGGCTTTGAGCCCATCTTTAAATCTCTTTTCCTGTCCACCAACATTCCATTTTCTGTTCTTGAGTTTGGAGTAGAGCAACTGCTTTGGGAGACGGTGGTCGGGCATCCGGACAATGTGGCCGGTCCAGCAGAGTTGATGGTGGAGGACCAGCGCTTCAATGCTGGTGGTCTTTGCTTCTTCCAGCACGCTGACATTTGTCCCGCCTGTCTTCCCAAGAGATTTGCAGGATTTTCGGAGGCAGCACTGATGGAATGTTCCAGGAGTTGCATGTGACGTCTGTAGACAATCCACGTTTCGCAGGCATATAGCAGGGTTGGGAGGACAATAGCTTTATAGACAAGCACCTTGGTATCCCTACGGATGTCCCGGTCCTCAAACACTCTCTGCTTCATTCGGAAAAATGCTGCACTCGCAGAGCTCAGGCGGTGTTGTATTTCGGTGTCGATGTTGACTTGGTGGAGAGGTGGCTGCCAAGGTAGCGGAAATGATCAACATTTTCTAATGTTACACCATTAAGCTGTATCACTGGCATTGGAGAGGGGTTGGCTGGTGTCTGCTGGAACAGCACCTTGGTTTTTTCAATGTTCAATGACAGGCCGAGCTTCTCGCATGCTTCTGCAAAGGTGTTTAGAGTGGCTTGTAGATCTTCTTCTGAATGCGCACAGACAACGTTGTCATCAGCATACAGGACTACTCTAACAACTCTAATAAATGAGAAGTCATTGAAACACTCAAGCATGTGAATAATTTCAAGAGAAAGGTGGAAACCGTGAAAATGAACAAAATCTGGTTACCAGTATTTTAAAAACTCTTAAAATTAGGACAGTAAATAAAGAGCAACACTAAAAAACAAACAGGAATTCCAGACAAGAATAAATCAGGGCCAGTTAACACCTCTGAACAAAGGATTCCCCAGCAACAACCAGCCAGGCTTTGAAGCTACAATGCCATTAAATGCTAATCAAGGTGGCCAGTTACAACATTCACACTTGTCTCAAGCAAACAAGAGTTCTTTCTCCCACCCTGAACACTCCAGATATATGGACTTGACGGACTGCTTTTAGGACAATGACTTAAATCAGCAACTGTTTGAATGTTTTTATATTGTTTTATTTAAATTGTGTATTTATGCTTTTGGTTGTGGGCATCATGGTGTGCCAGTTGTTAGCCGCCCTGAGTCCCTCTGCGGAGATAGGGCGGGATACAAATGTCCAAAATAAACCTCACTTGCCTTGTTTTCAACAGATCTCACAACCTCTGAGGATACCTGCCATAGATATGGATGAAACATCAGAAGAGCCTGGAAAACTCACAGCAAGCCAGTGATTTTGGCAATGAAAGCATTCAACAACGATTTATTTATTAGATTTAATAATCTGCCTTTCTCCAAGATTCAGACCCCAATTATTACTAGGTACTGGAGTCTATATTTCAGAGGAAGAAAGTGGCAGAAATTATTTCTTGGGTATTAGTTTCCCTAAAACCCTTATGCAGAACTCATTCCTGTTCCCAAATCATATAGCTATTATTATTATTATTATTATTATTATTATTATTATTATTATTATTAGCCATTCTTATAGGTATGTTCACCTTGGTCAAGGAGTGCTACAAAGTGGTTGCAGAGTCTTAAAGTCTCCAAAAGGAAAGCCGGCTGGCTATTATTGGGTTGCTGGTTATTACTGAGGGAATTATTATTATTGTTATTATTATTATTATTATGGAAAGCCATTCTTAAGATAAATTTACCTCTGTCCAGGAATACTTCAAAGCAGTTGCAGAGTCTGTAATGTTACCAGAAGGAAAGCCAGCTCTCTCTTCCACAAGTCACTTCCCCTTTGGAGACCATTAAAATCCTTGCAACTTCACCAAGAGGTGGGACTTTCCTCAACATCTCTGCAAGGAAAAGCTTCACCTGTTTGATCAAAGAGTGCTGCTGCCTCAACAAACTACAATTCCCAGGATGCTATCTCTGTTCTGTGTATTTCAATGTGTATTTTATAGAAGTGCAATTTAATATGCATCTTTTATAGAAATACATTTTAATTTGTATTTATAGAATACCTGCTCCCTGGTGGCACAGTGGGTTAAACCGCTGATCTGCTGAACTTGCTGACCAAAAGGTCGGCATTTGAAATGGGGAGCAGAGTGAGCTCCCCATTAGGCCCAGCAAGTGTGAGTAGATTAATAAGTACTGCTTCTGCGAGAAGGTAATGGCGCTCCATGCAGTCATCCTGGCCACATGACCTGCGATGCGTCTATGGACAATACCGGCTCTTTGGTTTAGAAATGGAGACAAGCACTACCTCCCAGAGTTGGACACGACTAGACTTAATGTCAAGAGAAACCTTTACCTTTTAATAGAATTTTTACAATGTTTATGTGTTTTTTTAACAATGCTGGAATTCGCCTGGTGGTTAAAAGGAAAATTACACTATGTAACAAAATTTTGGAAAAAAATGTGTTCCTGAATTGAAAGTGTTACTTTCTGTTTAATTGTGTGATCCTTACTTTGAAATAAGTTGTTATACTCCAGAAACTTCGTTTTTGTGGCTGCCACAAACTATGAGATATTCATTGAAAAACTATAGCAAAACGTGCTGTAGGATGTCCCACAAGAACAAAGTTATTGCAGTTTAATAAACTTTCCAATTTGTTTGTTACACTGCATTTGAAAATGCTTGCTCAAAAAACCCATCCAGTGGTTTTTGAGTTATGTTAATTCCAAAAATGAACATTACATTTTTATTCATATAGACTAGCGGTCCCCTGCCATGCGCTGCTGTGGCCCAGTCTGGTGATCTGGAAAATAAAGTAATGAGAAAGTGTTGTTTTCTAATATATGTAATGTCTTTCTGCTTGTGGTAAACAGTATTCCTTGTTGTTTCTTTGTGGAGATTGTCTGGTTGGCCTACTCTGGAACATGTAACATATCATTGTCCTTCTTTAGGGGTCCCTTTCAAATCTATGATACTATATATCTCTCTGTGTGTGAATCACATCTATCTAGCTAAATATGTGGCTGGATGGCTCTTTGTCAGGAGGGCTTTGATTACATTTTCTTGCCCTGGTGAAGGGAGTTGGACTGGATGGCCTTAAGCATTTTCTGTTGGTCATGGGGGTTCTGTATGGGTAATTTGCCCCAATTCTGTCGTTTGTGGGATTCAGAATGCTCTTTGATTGTAGGTGAACTATAAATCCCTGTAACTACAACTCCCAAATGTCAAGGTCTATTTTCCTCAAACTCCATCTGTGTTCCTATTTGGGCATATGGAATATTCGTGCCAAGTTTGGTCCAGATCCATCATTGTTTGAGTCCACAGTGCTCTCTGGATGTAGGTGAACCACAACTCCAAAATTCAAGATCAATGCCCACCAAAGCCTTCTAGTGTTTTTTTGTTGGTCATGGGAGAACTGTGTGCCAAGTTTGGCTCAATTCCATCGTTGGTGGAGTTCAGAATACTCTTTGATTGTAGGAGAACTATAAATCCCAGCAACTACAACTGCCAAATGACAAAATCAATTTTTTTGAGTGATGGTCACTCCGTGCCTTATTAGGTGTCTTGTGTCCAAATTTGGTGTCAATTCGTCCACTGGTTGAGTTCTGTTAATCCCACAAACGAACAATACATTTTATTTATATAGACTAGCTGCACCCGCCACACGTTGCTGTGGCCAACCTTCCCTCCCTCCTTGTCTCCTTCTTTCTTTGTCTCCTTCCTTCCCTCTTTTTCTTTCCCTTCTTTTTTCCTTCTCCATCTGTTTCTTTTCTCACTTCCTTTGCTCTTTGGTTCTATCCTTCCTTGTCTCTTTCCTTCCTTGCCTCTTTCATTCCTTCTCTCCTTCCTTCCCTCTTTCACTTTTTTTATTTCATTCTCTTCTTCCTTCCATCTCTACCTTTCTTTCTTTCCTTCTCTCCTTTTCTCTCTCCCTCCTTTCCCCTTTCTGTTTTGTGTGTGCATATATGTGTGTATATATTTCTGTATATATTTGTGTATATATGTGGTTTTGCACATACGTTGTAATGTATTCTTTTTTGTTTTTTGGCTTTTTAAGTCTTTTCTGCTGTATTTTTTGGGGTGTTTTTATGAGTGATGGTCACTCGTTGGCCTGAGAGGTGTCTTGTGTCCAAATTTGGTGTCAATTCGTCCAGTGGTTTTTGAGTTATGTTCATCCCACAAACGAACATTACATTTTTATTTATATAGATTACTAGCTGTCCCCTGCCAGGCACTGCTGTGGCTCACATGGGGGTTCTGTGTGGGAGGCTTGGCCCAATTCTGTCGTTGGCGGGGTTCAGAATTCTCTGTGATTGTAGGTGAACTATAAATCCCAAATGACAAAATCATTTTTTTTGAGTGAAGGACATACGTTGGGTTGTTAAGTGTCTTGTGTCCAAATTTGGTGTCA